GTTACAGAATGTATTATGAGACCATGAAGAAACTTTGCAGAGCTATCCAAAACAAATGCCATGGGATGCTGACGGCGGGAGTCTGTCTCCTTCATGACAATGCACGTCCGCACACTGCTCATGCAACACAAGAGTTACTGACTTCATTTAGTTGGGATGTTTTAAGCCACCCCTCTCACAGCCCTAATCTTGCATCCAAAACCTGTCCTATGGATGACAAAATTCATTGAACTGAGTGGTAATTATGTGGAAAAATAATGTAATACCTATGTTACAATCCATTAACATTTTATTAAAATATATTCATTCTTTGTATTCTTAAAAAATCTTGTAACCTTACTTTCTGGATAACCTTCATATATCTCCTGCACGGTAACAGTGCACTTGGTATAATTTTAGGGCTTGTGTTACTGAGACACGCTTCTTTTGCAGTTAATTAAAAACAGAATTATGGCTCCATTTGACACCTAAGTTACTGGATTTCATCACATAATTTCACCCCTCTGTAATCATTGCACCCTTTTTTTCAGTTCAAAAATTTGTTTTCATCACGTAATCATTGCATAGGTAATTCTGTTTGTGGCTGCAATGCTATCAGTGGGTTGCTGTGAGTTTTCTGGGCTGTATGACCATGTTCAAGAAGCATTATCTTCTGATGTTTCACCCACATCTATGACAGGCATCCTCAGATTGTGGGGAAAACTCACAGCAACCCAGTGATTCTGTCCATGAAAGCCTTCAACAACACAATGCTAACAGTATTTTCATTCAACCCAATAAAGCACTGTAGTGCTCTAAACAAGGCCATGAAAGAAGTAATTTAAAAAGGGTGGCACTCACCTTGAAAGAAATGATTTTAACAGGGTGGTGCTCTCCTTCAAAGAAGTGATTTAAGAAGGATTCTGTTCTCCTTGAAAGAAATTATTTTAAAAGCATGGTTCTTAAGTACTATAATACCAATTTTTTTTAAAAAAAAACTTTGCATAATGTTTGCACCCAATATTTTGGCCAATAAAATTGGCATAAAATCTGCAATAATTGTGCAGTGAAATGTGATAACTTTCACTAAAATGAGGCAGCCTCTACAGGATAGCAAAGGGAGGCCTCTGAAAAGAGGGAACAGTAGTACTCTTATGACAAGTGAAAGCTTTCCAGAAGAATAAGACGTTTTGTGAGCAGGGAAGAAAAACTTAGTTTGGGGATCCCCCCCACCCCAATTTTTTTCAGAGGGACCTATATTTGGGGTGTTGTGTGTTTTTCGAACTGGATGGCCATGTTCTAGCAGCATTTTCTCCTGATTTTTCACCTGCATCTGTGCACTGATGCAGATGAAATGTCAGGAAGAAATGCTCCTGGAAAATGGAAATATAGCCTGGAAAATGCACAACACTCTAGTGATTCCAGCTGTGAAAGCCTTTGACATTAAAACTATTTTTTTATCTGTGGCAAGATCATTTTTGCATTTTGTTTTTACAGGAAATCTTCCCCACTGCAAAAAAACAAAACAAAAAAAAACAACCCTCCATAATCTCAAAAACCTATAAAAGCTTCACATAAAACTCCCTTCCTCCCAAAATCCTCTGAACTGTCCTACTTGTCACTTCTGGCTTCACATGGAAGGGCTTGTGTGAGTCCTTGAGCCAGAAGAATGATCCCCTGACTAACAAAGCTTCCCCACTCTCCCAATAGAGCAGTTGAACTTAGCATATTCCAAAAGCTGTGCGTCTGTTGGGGGCAAGAAGAGAAATAACAGAATGGGCTATCCTGGGATGGCATGACAATTTGGAACCCTAAACAATGAAGCGCACTGCAATATTTTGCTGCATTTCCTACTTGTCGTTCTCTTCTTTCATAATAATTTCACACTGCTCATTACAAAAGGCAAGATCATAAGTATGTTTACCAATGTGGAAAATAATATTAAGTTCAATGGATTTATTCCAAAGATAATTTCTCTACTATGGAGCCTGCAATTGGTAAAATGATCCTTCCTTGCTCTACTGACCAGTGCTCCTGTTTGTAGTATCCTTTCATTGGGCATTTCCTGAACTTTCCTAACCTAATTGAAAAATAAGTTCTTAATGGGCCAAGTCTGGGACAAGCAGGAATGTCTCCATATTATATGAAATATATAAATAACCTGTGTGTGTGTAAGATATGTATGTATGTATGTATGTGTTTCTATATTACCAACTTACTGGTTTAATTTGTTGTCTGAACATATGTAAAGCAGAATTAGGCTCAAAGTAAAGAGGTGCAAAAAATGGAGGAAGGAATATCAACAAGTCAAGCAGATTACACATTACTACAGATATACTACTGGACAGTGAAGAAAAAGCTGACAGAAAGAAAATCAACTCATTGGATATGCAGTGCTGGAGAAGAGCTCTACGATTACCACGGATAGCTAATAAATAAATAAATGGGCCCTAGAGCAAATCAAGGCTGAACTCTCCCTAGAAGTGAAAATGATTAAATTGCAACTTGTCGGCAGTTAACCTTGAACGTATCATGAGAAGACACAACTCACTAGAAAAGATTATCATGTTTGGGAAGGTAGAAAGCAATAGAAAAAGAGGAAGACTGTGTACCATGTGGATAGATTTAATGAAGCAAGTCAAAATCAGAGCAGGACTGATGAAGTCAGGGTGACTTAGAGGTCTCTCAATCATAGGGTTATCATAAATTGAATCATAAGGCTTAACTGCAAAAACACCATATTAATATAATTAAAACTAAAAGACTTTTGCTAACTGGAGAATCAAAATGTATGTGTACTGTGTCTAACAGTTGCAAAGCAAGAAGACACAGGTAGGCAAACATTCAGAAACCTTGTATTATGATTGTTTACATTTATGTATGACCAAACAGATCCCAAAGACAAAGAAGTGGCAGGAGGAAAGACCACAAGACTGAATCTACAAGTAACAAATTGTTTGCTGAGGTGGCATTCTAGTTTATCAGAATGTGGTGCAAGGGAGAGAAGAGATAAGATGGGTTTTTCTTGCTTATAGGGGAATACTGTTGAATCTGAAAGAGGGCAAATTGGCATGTGACATGCTTTTTGCCTTCCACCCACCCATTTCCAGAGAACAGGGTATGTATGTTATGGTTTGCTGAGCTTGCTTTTGATGCTCTCTCTAGCTGACTTTCTCAGCAAGAACCCTGTTTTTGCACAGTTCACCATTTAAAGAATCTTCTAACTCCCTCTTGAGAGAAATAGGAAATGGGTCAGAGTTCAAAAACAAGAGTGGCAGTGCTGCTTATATCTGTGGATGACATGTGCAGTTTCTTTTTAGAGTCTCCTGTGGTTCTTCTACAGAACAGACATGTGGATAGGCCTTATTTTGCTGCATTTTCACACTCCAGGCTCCTTTTCTCTGTGTCTTCGGCTGACGTAGATAGTGTGCCCTTTGTTCATGGAGAAAGAGGCCATCATCTCCTTGTGAAATTATCCTGTATCGCAAGGTTTATTCTAAGCTGCACAAGAAGTCAGAAGAGCAGTACCTAATAGATAAAAATATAGAGAAATATAAAGTTAAAAAATACTATGATTACCTTTGTTATATTATAGCAGTAGAATCAAGTGAAATTTTAACCTGCATTTAATTAGTTTGATCTTGAGTGTATTTTGTTATATGCATATTAATAGTGCTGTGGCTTATCTCTCTTTAATCCTGTTATACCCTGCCTCGAGCAGCAAGGAGAGGTAGATGATTATGATGATTTTTTTTTAAGTGTCAGAATCAACTTGAGAAACTGCAAGTTGCTTCCGGTGTGAGAGAATTGGCCTGCAAGGATGTTGCCCAGGGGACGCCCAGATGTTGTATCATCCTGTGGGAGGCTTCTGTCATGCCCAAGCATGGGAAGTTGGAGCTGACAGATGGTAGCTCACCCCGCTCCCTGGATCCAAACTGCCAACCTTTCAGGCAGCAGTCCTGCTTGCACAAGGGTTTATCAAGGAGCCCCCATTGCACCACTGGGGGCTCCTTGATGATGATGATGAAGATTATTATTATTATTATTATTATTATTATTATTATTATTGGGAGCAATAATCTGTAACCAAAGAGGATACATGCCTGAATATGTGTCTAGATGCTTTGGATCCAACTGTGTAGCTGTAGGCATTGTCACCCACATCCCAAACCTTTTGGTACCAGGGCTACATAATCTACTAATATTAGAAATAACAAATCATCCTTCTTTTTAAAGTTAGTCCATATGGTCGAACACACAGAAACCTATTTCCTTCTGTACCTTTTGTTTTCCACCCATATACAATACACCCAGCTATAGAATAATGGCTGCTGTAATAGTGCTCTCTGCCACCTGCCCTTTTCAGAATAGTTTTGAATTCATTTCCTAAGTTATCGAGTAATGTCCATATGCTTGTACAGCTATCATGTTACTATTTATCTTTTCTCTTCTTGTTCCCTGACTTTAGAGGAGACATTTTGCAAACAGTGGAATCATTTAGTGGATGGGCTAAGCTTATCTTGATGCAAAGTTCTCCTATTTCTCCCTTTCATTCACAACCGCTTCCCTTCTGTAGCTATTCAACCTACTAACTTGCCTGCTCTGACTAGGCTCTTGCAATAGGTGAAATGAAATCAAAGAAGAAAGAAATAGTATATTCTTAACTTTCTTTCATTAGAAAACATATCGAACTGGAAACTTTCATAGCAACCAAGTCTTATCACATGCCTTGCTTTAAACTATTGCTGTTCTGTCCTAATGTGTTAGTTTCGTTTCATGCTGAGGAGTAGCTTCCATTTCAAGTATCAAATAAGGCTTTCAAGTGCTACTTGGTAACTTGCTAGACAAGAACATTCAGAAATGAATTAAAAAATCCCCCCCCCCCCAAATTAAAAATAAGCTGAAATGTTAATTTGTTTTTTTCATGTTTCCCCTGTAACAGATTTGTAATTCAAATTTAATAAAGTATAAATGAAAATTGAATGCAAGGTTCAATTCTAATGGTGCTTTTTCTGTTATAGGCAAACAACCCTGGTGGTTTATATTATGACATTTGTGGGAATGGTGATTTACACATTTACTCTGGACCTAGGCTACATCTGGGTGGTCTTTGTGACTGCAGGTGTGCTGGGGTGAGTTGGCCTCTCTCTTTGACTCTCGGGGTAATTTTTCAAAGCTGCCCTTGGATGAATTTAGCATTGCCACCAAAAGTGAGATGGAGACTCATCCTGTCTCTTCAATAGAGTGATTAGGAAAAAGGTCATGTAAGCAAAGGATGCTTGGACAATACAGCATATGTACAACCACCACCACACACTTTAGTGTCTTTGCTGACCAGAAATAACTTGTATTGAAAAGCCTAGATCAGTGGTTCTCAACCTTTGGGTACCCAGGTGTTTTGGCCTACAACTCTCAGAAATCCCAGCCAGTTTATCATCTGTTAGGATTTCTGAGAGTTGAAGGCCAAAACATTTGGGGACCTACAGGTTGAGAACCTCTGACCTAGATTAATGAAACAGTTGGGGGGAAATAGATGAGCCTCTGTTTTTTAGGTTCAAGAGAAACCCTTCAAAAAGTAATTATATCATCAGCATTTCAAAGGTCACTCAAAAGGGTGAATTATACTAATTACAATTTTAGAGGGGATCTCATTTTACTTTTTATTCAAAAGTCCCTAAAATAGTTACTTTCATTAATTTTAAAAACCCATCTTAGAAATTTATATGCTACTGGGCTGTGGAACAAGCAATTTCTAGGTATAAACAACACACACTAAAATCATAAAAGTACCCAAAACAATGGGAATGAAGTTAGCACTTGTTGATTTATAATTGCTATATAACTTCGTAATGGAAGAATAAAATTACAAGGAATAACTTGAGAGCTTTGGAAGAAATGTGGTCTGGAATAGCTCTTTATCTTTAACATGAAATGGCCCTGACTTTGTATCTATTAATGGCTAATTATTTTTTCCATCTTACAGTTTTTTTATGACAGGTTACCTGCCACTGGGCTTTGAATTTGCTGCTGAATTGACATACCCAGAGTCGGAGGGGACGTCATCGGGCCTTCTCAATGTATCTGCACAGGTAAATGCTTGATGCACTATTCATCAATGTATTGATAAAGCTATTCCATAGTGTACTACTATCATACATGTATATTTTTAAACCAGACTATCATGACAGTTCCCAGAAACCTCTTGGATTTGGTTTCAGGATAGCAGTGGCTTTTCTCATAGTAGTGGCTTTTCTCATATCACTGATAAGACTTCCTTCTAGAACTCACTTCTAAATTTCTAAGAGTATCTGCTTACAGAGAACAGGTGAGAAGACACGAAGGTCACTGAAAACTGTGCATTGCTGTATTTCCAGCAAGAAGAGATAATCCTGATTAGGTCAAGTGATACAAAAATGCAGTATTCTTTCTTTCAGGCACAAACTGTTTTTTGTGGTTTTTGAGAAAATTAATAAAGGGCACAACTAATCAAGGATATCCATGACAAGGAGATGCTTATTTTGACTGGGCATAGCTCTTAATGTTATGGCTTAAAGCCATTAATTAATCCCAGCCACAATGAACCAATGTAATCACTTGAATTTACATAAGTGGCAATTTACCATGTTTCCTCTGATTCAGTGATTCAAACACAATATGTTGCATTAACTTTGTTAAGCTTCATAATATAACTTTTGAAAAATCTTGTACTAGATTTTTGGAATCATTTTCACAATTAGCCAAGGACAGATCATTGATGACTTCGGGACTCGAGCAGGAAATCTCTTCCTCTGTGCCTTCCTGTTTGTCGGCACTATTATAACAGGTAAAACGCATACTCTGAAAGTTCTGCAATGTATTTCTAGTCATTCATTTGTAAAATGTTTGTGTGTGTGTGCCTACACATGTCTTCAGGTCACCTGCCAACTTATAGTAAATTTCATAGGGTTTTCTTAGGCCAGGCATGTAGCCGGGGGGTGGGGGGGGGTCTTTGGGGCTTCAGCCCCCCCCCCCCCCGAAATTCTCATGGTGATCTGCAAAAAGGCCTTACTGGTACATTATTTAAATTGTTATGTTTATTCATATCATGATCTGATCACCATGCTCAATATATCTCATATGCATGGGGGTATTGGGGTAACGATACAAAAGGTTTGCTAGGGTAGACCCTCTTTCACTCAGACTCACCCCCCCCCCCCCCCCCCCCCCCCGAATCAAAATCCTGGCTACGGGCCTGTCTTAGGCAAAGAATACTCAAAGGTTGCTTTGCCAGTTCCTTCCTATTAAATTTAGCTCACAGGATCTGATGTTGGTAAACATTCTCCTATCCAAGCACCAACTAAAGCTGGCCCAGCTTAGATTCCACGATCAGAAACGATCTGGTGCTGTTAGTGTTTTTATTCTACAGTTTGATATACTGTAGCTTAGGACAGCAGTAACATTTAATGTCTTGGTTTATGTTGCCTACCAGGACTCTGAATTTCCTAGAAGAAATTACAATGGCATGTCCATTCAGGGCAAGAACATATTTTTGCATATTAAAAGAATTTCATGTTTTAATTAGCTCTTCCCACATCAGGTACCTTGGTCACACCCTGGGCTGGTTATTGCAGTTCACACTATATGGATTATCTTTGAAAAGAGCTTGAAAATTCCTCCAGCTTCCATTAAAGTAAATGAAGCACCCAGAATGGCTATTGGGGTGTGTTCAGTTGAGAACATGCTACAACACAGTGCCCTATCCCGAGTATACATTGCCTTCACTTCATTGGCAGACACAAGTCAAACTGCTGGTTGTTACCTATGAAGCCCTGATCTACCCCAAGGCATTTATTCAAACAGCATTATTTGTTTGTTTGTTAATTTGTGATATCTATAGCCCACCTATTTCACAAAAATGAGATTCAAGGTGACTCACAATACAACTGAAACAGAATTTAAACACAGCATAACTCAGCTAATGCATCCATGCAAATACTAAATATTTTTGAGTTATATGTATATATTTGATGATGGATTCAACATACCTGAAGTATATACTTATATATACAGCAAACTCGTGCATAAGAGTAGGGCAGGTTTTGGGGCCAAAATTAAGGATTTTGATATGATCTGTGCATAAGTCGAGGGTTATGCTATGGAGAGGGGAAAACACTGAATACCACCACAGAGGACCAGATGCCTCTACCGTTACCATCATTTCCCTGCCCAGTCATTCAAAAAGGCTAAGTACAGTGTCATATCAGGGAGAGTAGTTCTTTTAAGTTTCCCTGGAATGGACTAAGTTATTGTCTTTCAGTCTTCAATCTAGAGGAAGGGATGTTTTTTAAATATAAGAGTTAAGGTACAATGCTTACATTGGCCCATGGATAAGATGATCCAGTTTTGGGGGATCAGTTTTGTCAGTGAAGTTTTTAAGACTTATACATCAGTATATGCAATAACTTTAAAGAATGTAATTTGCCATTTAAAACATATCAGTAGAGGTGGAATGTACCAATGTAGTAATAGGCCCCTTTCTTTTGTACACATCAGAATTGGTGGATGCGAGTGTAGAACTTTCTCTGATATCTCAAAGCCTGAGTCTTCTTCTATGGATGAATATGATGTCCCTGCTAAACTGGAATTTAGATTTAAAGGGATTTAAAGGTCATAACTGACATCCTGAGTTGTGTCCAGAAGCAGACTAATAATTGTGCTTGGAGATATTTTTTTTCCACCACCACCTATTAACGTCATTGGCCTTCTCAGGACTTAAGCATTACTCCATATGTTCCCTGATGATGTACAACAGCTACCTATAGCCTACAGCTTTCTGATTCTTTCTGATTCTATTTGTTTTCCTGTTGTACCTCAGCTTTCATCAAACCTGATCTCCGGAGACAACAAGCCAATCTAGAAAATGAGCACACTGTGAGTAAATAATATATTTCTGTGTTGGTAGCTTATGGCCACCGGCCACACCTGTGAACCATGATGTTATTGTCATGATGAATTATTGTGCCAGCCTAAGGTTTATTAATAGAATAGTGCTACTGTGAGATTCTCCTGGAGGAGTCAGAACAGCATACTATGTGGGTTTTTTCCTCTAGTGCTCAAGAATAGCTGCAAAAATTAAAAGTTAAGGAGATAACATCTGCTTGTGATAGCTTACATACCATGGGGTCCAATGTGTTGGGTTTCTATTGCCTTGTAAAGATTGCCTTGAGTAGCACTCAAGGTTTTTTTAAAGAAGGAAATGAAGATCACAAGCCAAGTTCTTATATAGAGCAACCAGGAGGTTTTAGGTTGGAGAGGCACTGCTTTCCATGTGCTCTAGACACAGACTATCATAATCCTTAACCATTGTCATGTCTGATGCCTCTGCGAGTTGAAGGCCAAAATATTGGAAGGGTTAAAGCTTCCTCCATCTTCCTTAGTTTAGATAGATTTGCTCCTTGAGATGTTGTTGAATGTCAACTCACGGTAGCTGTTAGCTAACATGTATTTGTTAGGCATACTGGGAGATGTTCTTCAACAACATCCAGAAAGCTGCACTGTTTCCATCCAATCTAAGGTCCCTTCCAGACAAGCCCTATATCTCAGAATCTGATCGCAGGTTTTCTGTTTTAAACTGGATTATATGAGTCTGCACTTCCAGATAATCTGGGATAAACAGAAAACCTGAGATTAGGTCCTGGGATATAGGGCCTGTCTGGAAGGGCCCTTACATTCTGGCTTTCCTGTCTGCCAGGTGTTTGCACATTTCATTATACATGAAGCCTTCCTCCTCACACTTAGAAGCATCATAGCCATCTGATGTTGTGGAGTGGAATGGATGTAATTCATTATAAGGGAATTACAGAGACTTGGTGGCTTCTTATTTTCAACTCCAGGAGCTGAACTGGAGTAGCCTGTCATGGACACTAGGATCTTGCTACTGATCTTATTGCCAGTAGGACCTAAATGCATCAGGTTATTTGAGGAAAGGGCTGTGGGTGTGATGGCCTGTTGGAGACCTGGAACTTTTAAATATGGTTGTGGGAGTATAAAATTATGTAGACACAAATAGGAAACAGTCATATGATGGATAGAAGCCTGGATGAAGAAAAAAACAGAGCTGGAAGGAATTAATTTATGACCGACCAGTATTTTCTCTTTTGGGGATCTGCAATTAGGAACCAACCCAGAAGAGGCTTGGGTTTACTAGACTGCCTTTGACATGCCTGGGATAGGGTAATAATCAGCTCCTGGATAGACATTCTGGAGCCAGGAGAGTAGATGGACCTAGCCGTGGCATTCTAAAGGCACCCATTGAAATAAATAGGGCAGTTTAATAAAGACAAGACTTGTGAATTACTTACTTAACTATTATTATTTTTAAAGAATGATAGAAGAGGAGCTTTTGATGGAAGAATGTACCAGGGCATTTATATAGAAATGTAGGAAAGCATTATTTTATGTGCATTCTATTTGCTTCACGTAATGAGAAAGCAACACGTAGTATGAAGAACGAAGGACTGGCTTCGCAGCTGTTTTCCTTTGTGATTGTGGAATCCTTCAAAATGTTGGCACTGGCATTTTTCAGGTGCTCTAAAAGGTGCCAAGCCGCAAGAAAGCTAGAGGAAGGCTTAAGGCTAAAGCTAAAGCTGCTGCTTCTGCTGACTCAGCTTAAACGTGTTTAGAAGAGAGCTGATCTCTGTTCACTGCCAGCAGGTCTCCCCGTTCTGTTCTGGGGAGGTTGTTGTTGAGCCAAAGATCAGCTCTGTTTCCACTTGCTACCAAGGAACACCTCTCTCTGAGTCAGGTATTATTTTGGCATTTTCGTAATTAGTACCAATCACAGAGGGGCAAAACAAAACAACATGCAATCCTACTATTAGGTCTTGAATCAGGTAATAAAATGAGATCTTTAGGTTTTGCTCCAAGCCTTGCTTTCACGTTTGGGACCCTGTAGCCTTCCTGTTTTGGTTGGACTACAATTTGTATATTATCTATGTACTGGGCATGTTACAGTGGGTGATGGGAAATGGATCCAGCATCTCCAAAATTCTTCAGCTTTATTTAGTAAGGACTGCCAGTTACTTCTTAGATCCCTTCTACACTGCCATGTAAAATCCAAATTATCTGCTTTGAACTGGATTATATGACAATGTGCTCATATAATCCAGTTCAAAGCAGATAGATTATCTGCTTTGATCTGGATTATGTGGCAGTGTAGAAGGGACCTTAGAGGAACAGTGCCTAGAACCTATAGATTTTTAAAATATGTAGTGGTGGATTGTTTAAACTTTAGGCATTATCACACCCATCCACCTCTTTGTTACCAACTGTGTTGTGAATTGTATTATATGACCTATGAAGAGCGTCCTAGGAGGTAGGATGATCTTAAAGTTGGGAAGGGGATGGTGCTAAATCAGAAGTTAGGATTCTATAGGCCATCAGCTGTTACCTCGTGTTTGAGGATGATTGGAGTAATATCACTTTTAAAAATATTTATAACATTACTTGTATCAAAATACCTCAAGGTGGTGCACAATACCATCAGTGCTTGTAGACCAGGTATGGGCAAACTTTGTCCCTCCAGGTGTTTTGGACTTCAGCTCCCATCACTCCTCAGGCCCCTTCCTTTTCCTGCTCAGCTGCTTAAGTTGAAGTTTAAAACACTTGGAGGGATGAAATTTAGCCATGCCTGTTGAAGACTAATAACATCTGAAGTGCACTAGGTTCCCCACTGCTAGGATGAATAGTGTTGACCCCTTCCAACTTTAAACATGTATGACTGTAAACTGAAGAACTGGCTTTTTGACTTACACTGAAAGCAAAAACAAATTTTCCCTCTTAAAATTCTTGCAGACTTTGTTGCCTGTTTTCTGACAGCATTTTAGTTCATTAATTAATTTTGGAGGCTGACTTTTCATTATATTGTATAGTTAACGTTTAGCAGCATAGCTATTAGAAAGCAGAAGGGCACCAATACTTTATTGGGAAAAAAACATTCAGACTCACAACAATTTCAATGGCAAACAAATGAAGCAATTTTTTTAAAAACTAGAGGGGAAATTTGATTTTATTTATTAAATTCAATTCTAAATTTAAATTTAAAATTGAATTTTTAAAATTGAAAGTTTAGATTTCAATTTTAAAAAATATATATAGTTGTAGTTTTTGCAACTAACATGTCTTGCCCCTTCACTAATTCAATTTTCAATTTCCCAGGATATAGTCCACTTCAACCATGTCATTCAACATGACAATGACATTGAGTGGGTCAAACTTTTCTGAGTTTACTTCCATCCTGACAGTAATAAAAATATATTAAATGGTTCCTTTGTGTGGAAAAAGTACACAAAGCTACATAGCAACCTCTGCCAGTGAAGACGGCAGCTTTTTGCTTACCAGTTTTTTTTTCTAGCCCAGTTCCTGAGCATTGATTGGGTAGCTTCATATCTGACAGAAATTCACCAGTTGAAACTTTACCCTGAATTTCTGATACAGGATGAAAAAAAAAGTTTTTTGTTGTACTGTTCTTGCGACATCATGGGAATGTGACATCAACTTCATGTTCACCATGTGATCTTTGATATCAGGGATCACATTTCAAGAGAGAAGTAAATAAAATGCAATGCAATAGGAGGACAAATGTGAGAAGTGGGTACATTTGGTGCAAAGACCCACCAGCTGGGATAAACAGAAATGTCTGTTTTGGGTTTTTTTTAAGTGGACCATTTTGCTCTCATGGAAAATATATTTTTCACTCCCAAAATGATAACATGCTATCAAGGAAAAATGTTTCCTTAACAGAACAAGCTGAAAGTTCTTATGCAGCATTGTAGCCGGGCTTTAGCACAGCTGGTTAATCACCAGCAGCAATAGATCTTTCCCAACTGAAAGGTTGGCAGTTTGAGCCTGTGTCGGGATGAGCACACAACCTTCAGCTTAGCTTACTGTCCACCTAAGCAATTCGAAAACAGCTGTGAGTAGAGAAATTGGGCACCACTTAGGCGGAGAGGTATTTTATGGCACCATAAGAAGCCTACAATCAAAGAATAGGAGGAAAGTCTGTGATCATATAAGACTCATCATCATAGAGGATGGAGCGACAGCACCCCCTGTAGCTGGATTCAACCCCCAGGAGGCCGAAGCCAACACATACCTCTATTTGTCTGTCTATCCTGTATGTCTAATGGCATTGAATGTTTGCCATTAGACATACATGCGGTGTATGTATTCTGCGATCTGCCCTGAGTCACCTTCGGAGTGCGAAGGGCGGAATATAAGTGCTGTAAATAAATAATTTCATCGTATTTTCTGCTGACTTAAGAGGTTTATAAAATGCAAAACTCTGTTCTAGAAGTCTGTTGAAAGAGGATGGAGAACACTCTGCCTATAGCCCTGCCTTCACATATTTCATCTATTCAACCATGTTTTCCCACCACCTCTTTAATTTTGTCTTGATCATGACGTGTGACTGTTGTTGCAGAGACTCCAAGCCAGTAACAGTCAGATAATGAATTATGGAATTGTTCCTTAACCCCAGCATTTCCCATCCCTGCCCAATAACCCCCAATTAAAGGTAGGAGAATCGCGTTAGCCTGATGATTTGTTTCTGTGAGGCTGCACTAGCACTAAACTTAATGGCAGATTCAAGCTTTAGCAAGAGAAGCACTTTTGATTGTGAAGTCACTAAGAAAAAGTTGTATTCTTTATAAAAAAATATTTTATTGCTCATGTAGTCTAATACATTTAAATTTTTCATGAGATATAATTATGTTTTCAATGGAGAAAACATCTTTTTACTTTTAAGCGAGGGGTAGGCTGCATTTCACTGATATATATTTGTTCATATCAGTCAAATTCCCAATCCTATCTTGGAGTGATATGCCTAAAAAATCTAGAGATAAGTGCTGTGGTTGTTCCTTCATTCAACACAAAGCCAGAAGTTTTGGAATCAGACAGTTGGCTTTTGTTTTTAGAAATCTTCTATAGAGCAGATAGTATATCTGCTTTTACATAATGGAGGAATGAGCAGCTGTGGCCTGGCAGATTTTTTGGACTTCAGATTCCATAATCTATCAAGATTGGCTGAAATGGCTGGGCCTGATGGGTCTTATAAGCAAAAAAAAAAATGTTTGGGGGGAAATAGTCACACATCACTGGAAAATATGACTGGGAAAAGGCAGCCAAAAGATTGGGAAATATTCTGTTATCTTTGAGGTAAACCATGTAGGTCACAGTTGCCTCTTTGTCCCAATATGCCCAACAGGATATGCTCTCGTCCAATTTGTGAGGCCCCTGCTCTTGGATATCTAATACACATAAGATTGCTAGGTATTTGAGCAAGCGCTGGGTGCAGAAAAAAACTCAAGCACGTTCAGCTGGCAGTAGAGCCCCCCGATGGTGCAATGGGGTATACCCTTGTGCCAGAAGGACTGCTGACCGAAAGGTCGACGGTTCAGATCAAGGGAGCAGGGTGATCTCCTGTCTGTCAGCTCCAGCCTCCCATGTGGGAACATGAGAGAAGCTTCCCACAGGATGGTGAAACATCCGGACATCCCCTGGGCATCTTCCTTGCAGATGGCCAATTCTCTCACACCAGAAGCAACTTGCAATTTCTCAAGTCACTCATGACACACACAAAAAAGCTAGCAGTGGAGAATCCAATCCCCTCTCTCCCCACATTTAGAAGGGAACTTTAGGGCCTTCAGCTGAAACTGCCACTGGGTTTAAGTGACTATTGCAACTCACAAAACACTTTGCAAACGTAATTGCCCTTTCTTTCTTTTCTCTTTAAGGACAATTTCTCATATATTCTTAATGCTTTGCTGCTCGCATCTTTGGAGTATGCATCATCTAGCTCTTTATGTTGTCCTCAAGCTTCCTTTTCTTTTGCTCTTGTCTTCAAAATGCTTTGTTCACGCATGAATTACTATTCTAAAGCAAGCAGTCCCTTTGGGCAGAAGCAGTCACGCTCATGTAGTATGGAAATTCTGGATTCTGAAGCAGTTAAGAATGGGTACAGAAAAAAAACTATTGTGTACGGGGTAGCTGTGGGGCAGTGTTAGATTTATGGATTATTATTTATATTTGCTATCCTGATTCCCAATCTTACTTTAGAAGGTGAACTATCAATGTGTGAACACTGATGCGTCTTTCAGAAATAAAGCTGTGGTTTGTCTGATTTAGCATAAAAAGAAGAAAAGTGTCAGGGAGAAATCTAGCTGTGTCTTTGAAAGTGATTTATTTTAGCATGAGCTTTCATGGATAATATTTCTGGGATATTTTTGCACCTTTCTGTCTCCTGTTAACACGATCTCATGCATATAACTGCATAACTGTGTTTAATTACATACAGCTAGCGCATTTGAAGAAGTGGATATCAATCTACTTCAAGTTCATGCTTAAATAAATTATTTGCTATCAAAGTTGCTGCTAGATTCTCACTCCTTTTTTTCTTTTCTACCCCCTCCCCCATTTTTGAATACACCTTACAAGATAATGTTTCTTTTGTTGTGAAGTATGTGAAGAACACATCCTGAACTCATGTTATATTTTCATTACTTTTAGCATTGCAGCATGCAAAATGTGGACACACACTGGCACTTGTAAGCTACTGTTTCATCTGATCTGTTACGATCAGGATGGAAATATTTTTGTGGTTTTCAAAGTCCTTTTGGGATCCTTAAAGCATGTTGTAGACCTCATCGGTAACAATACTGCAATTTAAGTGTACATGGGGCAGGAATATAGAGATATAGGAAGGCACTTTTATCTCACTAATATTTTATTTCCAACCGCTTGTTAAAAAGGAGAAGGCAATCTGAACTGGAATCAGTACCTTTCCCTTATGTTGGCTTTCAGATGACATCCCTCTGCAAATAGTGATGGGCCATATAGGAAATATTGACATTAGTATGTACATCTATTCTGTTGTTGTTTGCCTTCAAGTCATTTCTAATTTTGGTGACCCTAAGATGATCCTATCACAGGGTTTTCTGGGACTGAGAGTATGTGACTCATCTACGGTCACCGAGTAAACTTCCATGACTGAACAGGGAATCAGACCTTGGTCTCCAGAGTCATAGTCCAGTGCTCAGATCACTACTCCGTTCTGGCTTTCATATCTTTCCTGCCATAACAAACACCATTTTGTTTGTGGATCTATATGTCTGTAATTATCCAGAAATTGTATGGCCACAGGGAGTGGGTGATTAAGGATCAGAGTTTTCTTCTTCCATTTCAGATTAGGAAAGTATATAAAGATAACAGTTTAGTGTTATATATGAATGAGAAATCAGTTTGCAACCTTAGACCAAACAGAATTTAAACCAATATTATTATGAGTATCCCTTATCTAAAATGGGCCCCCTGGTGGTGCAACAGGTTAAACCGCTGAGCTGCTGAACTTGCTAACCAAAAGGTTGGTGGTTCGAATCCGGGGAGCAGGGTGAGCTCCTGTTGTTAGGCCCAGCTTCTGCCAACCTAACCATTCGAAAACATGAAAATGTGAGTAGATTAATAGGTATTCCTATGGCAGGAAGTAACAGCGCTCCGTGCAGTCATGCTAGCCACATGATCTTGGAGGCATCTGTGGACAATGCCAACTTGTCAGCTTAGAAATGGAGATGAGCACCACCCTCCGGAGTTGGACACGACTAGACTTAATGTCAGGGGAAAATCTTTATCCTTTACTATCCCTTATCCAAATGCTTGGAATCAGAAAGGTTTTGGATTTCAGATTTTGGATTGCCTGTATTGGCATATACGTATATAAAGAGGTCACTTGGGAAAGGCATTCAAATTGAAATACAAAATTTATACATGTGAACTTTTATCAATCCCATCCCCCCAATAATTTGAGTATAAAACAAAGTTTGTGTATACTGAAGCATCAGAAAGCAAATGCATCACTATCTCAGCCATACAGGTGGACAGTTTTTGATTTTTGAGTTATATCAGATTTCAGAAGTTCGGATAAGGGATGTTTATGGATAAAGTATGCATTCTATTCATAATACAAATTAAATATTAGCATTAGTAATTAAATATGTATGTCAAAATGTAAAATCTTATAGGGCAACATCTGTGCACATGGAAATGAATGCATTGTGCTAGTCAAGGCTTTGAAATTCAGCCTTGAGCTTCATATTTCTGTCTCTTTGATGTCATGCACGTTCGTATGACACTTACTCTGACAGAGTTCCCTTTTTAGTTCAGTGAGTTTTTTTCTTCACTTTTCAAGTTATTTTTAGGGACTGCAGCCTTGATCAATCCATATTCAGTTTATCCTGATATTCATGATGCTGGAATTCATTAGTCTGGTTGGAGCATCAGATAGTAGCATTTCAGTTCACTTGTTTCTAGAACCATCTCATAATTTCTACCTGGACCATAGATCATATAGTACTAACATCTTTACATCTATTCTTGTGCATATTCACATTGGGACTAAGAAGACTTGTTCAAATAAATGGGCCTTGGTTGAGCTGTTCATATTTTAACATAGCCAGAATTACTTTTGTGCTTTGTTCACTGAATGCTGTTCTTTTTCATGAATACAATTGGCCTCTTGTATCCATGAATTCAACCATTTATGGCTTGAAAATATTTTTTTAATTCAAAAAGCAAACCTTGATTGTGTACCATTTAATATAAGGGACACAATTCCGATATATCATTGTTTACGATGGGGCATGAGCATCCATGGAGTTTGATATCCATGTGTCTGTCAATCTGTCCTGGAACCAAACAGCAGACACCAATTCTGTATTGCAGAATGGTTGGGATACACACAGCAATGTTGTTAAATGATGCTATTACCACCCATCTTATCTTAGCAAAAAGTATTGGAAATTTCTGCCAGGCAAGCTGTTGAACTGTTCAACAGTGGGATGTGCTGCCTCTGATTGTGGTGGAATCTTTTTCTTTGGAGGTTTTTGAACAGGGGCTGGATAGCCATTTGTCAGGAGTGTGTATTCCTTATGTGGCTAGGGGTCTCCCTTTCTGGTATTTGGTCATGCTGGTTGGGGCTGATGGAGATGGAGGTAACAGTTTTTTAAGAGAGCTGTTGCCTGCACCTTCATCAGCCCCAACCAGCATAGTTCTCTGCACGGAGGCTTGAGCTTTTCTACTTTGGAGCTGCTTAATGGCATTGTTCTGCAGTGATTCAAGCACAGCTGTCAGATTTAATCAGTTCCAACTCCAACATGTGATAAAGGAATGGAAGTTCATGAATTGGAAAACGGAAGGGAATTGTTTCTGTTTAATTTCACTCCTGATGGTTTCTAATAATAATAGACTTTATAAATTGTTTTATGAGAGACAGCATAATGTAGTGGTTTGAGTGTTAGACTAAGACTCTGGAGACCAGAGGCCAAATCCCTGCTTGGCCATGGAAACCCTCTGGGTGGCTTTAGTAAGGCCCACTCTCTCAGGTTCAGAGGAAGGTTAAAGCAAACCCCAAATGTGTCAAAAATACTCAAAAATTCTGCTGAAACCGGAGTACTTTCTACTAGGACTTACTGGTGAAGACATTGCACTTGATCAAAACAAAGATATTCTATTCACCTATATAACCACTGCGGCCAGGATGGTATACGCAAAAAAAATGGAAGCAAAAAGAATTGACAACGGAAGAAGAATGTCGAAGGCTTTCATGGCTGGAATCACTCAGTTCTTGTGGGTTTTTTCGGGCTATATGGCCATGTTCTAGAGGCATTTCTCCTGACGTTTCGCCTGCATCTATGGCAAGCATCCTCAGAGGTGAGGTCTGAGGATGCTTGCCATAGATGCAGGCGAAACGTCAGGAGAAATGCCTCTAGAACATGGCCATATAGCCCGAAAAAACCCACAAGAACTGAGGGAAGAAGAATGGCTAGATAAGATGAAGGAAATAAAAGAAATTGATAAACTGATTTTTTAACTTAAAAGACTTGAATGGAAGACCGATTAAGAAAACTGATTGGAAACTATTTGATGAATGTATGACTGGCCAATAAAGGAAGGTTTCCTCTGGAAGAATAAACTAAGATTGAATATAGACAAGTCTCAATGACTTTGGAATACAGAAGAAGCGCAATACTTTTAAGATGAGGGGAGAAGCCATAAATACAGAAAAAAATTAAGTAAAGATAAGAATATTTTATTAGAACAAGCAGAGGAGAAGATTGGGAAGTTCTGAACACCCCCCCCCCTTTCCCTCCTATATCCCTATCCTCCCCTACTACCTCATTCCTGCGTGTTTACTTCCCTTATAAAGATCCCATATTTGTACCTACCCAAACTCTCCCTACCCAAGACCCATCCCACCCTCTAATTCGTCCCCCTTATTTTATACTTGTAGTATTAGAAAAGCATTAATAAAAATATTTTTTAAAAAAGCAAACCCCAAATGAACAAATCTTCCCAGGAAAATCCTGTAGAAAGTTTATCGTAGAGTCCCCATAACTCAATAACAACTTGAAGGTACTCAACAACGAAATGATAAAGCTCAGAGGCACAGTAAAAAGTGACATTTATCTTCCTAGCCCATGTCAGCAAGGCTTTGTGTCACAACTTTAAGCCATTACCATCAACAATGACAGAATCCTTCATTCTGCATAGTGATGCTGCAAAAAAAAAAAAAAAAGTGGGGGCTTTCAAAATGCAACCACTCTTTTTTACATTCCTCAAGGACAAGTGCAATTTGTGAAGTTATTTAAAAGTGGAAGATCTTTTTAAAAAACAAAACAAAATGAAAAGTGGCAAATTGTCTTCTATAGGTTTCTGATACTTTGAATTCATGCATGCAAAATTGCTCTTCTCTTCATAAGAGAATTTGAATAGGTATTACAAAAACCTAGCAGCACAAGTCTATGCTTGTTTACATAGAAGTAAATGCCACTGAGTTCCTACAGCTCAATCCCAAGTAAGGTTTCAGCATTTAGCCATTCAGCTTTTGTCAAGCTCTCTCATTTCCTTCCCAAAATAAGAACAAATTACATTAAAGAATAATTTATGTTTCTGACTTCTGTTTTCTGAAGATCAAGTGTACAAGGATGGGGAGATCATGGCAGCAGCACATCTTCAGCTCTGATGCCTGACAGGTTCTGATGAATGTTCTTCCTCTCAGGCCACAAATGATCTCAGGGTATTTCCCTTCTGGAAAAAAAATCCCTCCCAGAAAAGTTTATAGGTATCTCTAGGTTCTCCAGTGTTTTACTGAAGGGAAAGCTCTCTCACAGAGAATTCTCAATACTTGACAAAATTAGCATTCTTTGGATTATTTGGGTGAAGATTTGACTGTTATTGGACATAAAATAATTATAAACTTTTGATATGTAAATGTATGTAGATGCACACACGTATATTTGCACTTTCCGTCACACAAAATGTATTTCTATCTGAGCTAAAACAGCTACCTCACCTTCCTACTTGGTCAAGCTATTTTGATTTCCTGAGCAGAACATTGCAACTTGCTCCTTTTTGATAAAAACACAAGAATAGATTACGTAACAGTTTGCAGATCTTTCATGGTGCCTGAAAGCAGGTAAATGAGGCTACCTCCTTCCATTTTTGCAATAGGGACAAAAAATAATAATTAGGTAAGGTATATAGATACATGACCACATAACCTTGGAGGTGTCTACGAACAACATCAGCTCTTGGCTTAGAAATGGAGATGAGCACCAACCCCCAGAGTCGGACACGACTGGACTTAATGCCAGGGTAAACCTTTACCTTTACCTATATAAGTAAAATAAGTAAGATATAATGTTAATGGAGTTCCCTTCTCTGGAAGTTCTCTGCCAAGAGACTAAATGCTCTAGCTAGAGTTTGATGAAGAGCTGTCTGCTCAAAAAGCTCACTTATGTATGGCTGATAGAAACCCGTAAGGGTTTGAGAGTCATAATTTAATGAAGTATCATGTACCATTTCAATTATATTCTCCATAGACATTTTAAAAAAAATTGTCATAGGTTTAAGAATGTATTGGCCCCTGGTGATATTGATGTTCTACTCCAGCTAAATGAGTGGAAAATAGTAGAACATAATATTCTTTGACAGGTAGAGTGTATTACTGAAGTGCAGAATAAACCCCATACCCGGTTTGTAATTGCAATGTGGATCTGCAAGCTGAATGTGATTCTGACCTGAAGGACACTCCTAGTGCTGCACACATAGTCTTGATATGGCCAAAAAGATGATAAAATCATCCAAAGCCTTCAGTATACTTTGTCTGGTACACTTTTAGAAATAGTATAATCAATAGTCATGTTGAACAATGATTTTCTGAATTGATATTGACACCAAAGGAAACAAGAATTCCGGTTTGCTGGTTTCTGTTTTTCTTTTTCTTTTCCACTTCTCTTAACTGAAAAGCACTGTTCTTTGTTCCTAATTTGGAGTCTGGTTTTTCATAACTGAGGCTGAATTTTTTCTTTCTGACTTTTTAAGAGTAGTAATTTGGATTAAGCACCTATTGCTGGAGAAAATGTATATATACATTTGTTCTATCTCTTTTTTTCTTGGGTTTGTTGACTTTCGTTTAAGGATATTTGAATACCCAAAACTGTATTTTGTAGGAACATATGCCACTGAACCTCTTGTTCTCAGTTGCCTTGATCCCTCTAATTGTTTCTTTTCTGTTTGACTTTCAGAAGAAATTGGGAGACATGCCTTTAGACCAGCGTAATACCACTATATGAGGACTCAAAACTTGAAAGTGTTTGGTGGCAAAATGAGGAAGTGGTGATACTGCTGCTGCCATTGGCCTCTGTTGACATCTCTACCATTTGCACCTCACATATGTAGTGGACCAGCCCCCAAGTCAATCCACATGTGCTATTTAAGTTGCTGAGGAATGAGATCAGCAGGTCTTGAGTCACCTCCAATGCGTGAACCAGCTTCTTTGCCCTGAAGGTAGCAGTTGACTTGTCTTGGGCACTGCAGCTGACTCCTGAATCCAGCATTGCTTCAGTTATATACTTGATGGACTAAGAACTACTCTCTGATCATCCATGGATGTGTTCTGTAGACACTCAGAACAGGATGCGAAATGGATCGAGAGGAAGATTCTTGCTCCTCAGGGAGAACTAGAAAGCCCTTGCTCTGTGAGCAGACCTAAATGAAGTTCAACCCTCGACTTTCCCATAGAGGACCAATGACAGCGGGAACACAACTCTGTTGAGAGAGCATTTTTTCAATCCAGTCTAGCAGATACGTATTTTTAAATTAACGAGCCATCCAGTTCTTGTGGGTTTTTTCGGGCTATATGGCCATGTTGAACGAGCCATCATTTTTAAATGCAAAAGCTCTATTTTGTACCCTCTCTAAAAATGCTTGGGGGCAATTTGTTTTAAGCAATACTGGGAAATCACATTCTTCCATAAGCAATACTGGGAAATTGTATATTTTCTTCCATAGACTCATGTTGTTGGGAGAGATCTCATGGGCCATCCAGTCCAACCCCCTGCCAAGAGGCAGGAAAATTGCATTCAAAGCACCCCTGACAGATGGCCACCCAGCCTCTGTTTAAAAGCCTCCAAAGAAGGAACCTCCACCACACTAGATATCATTTGGCCCTATTAAGGTATAGCTTTTTTACAGTTAATTGGGATGCAGAAATAAAACAAGGTTTCCACTTAGCACTATTTTGCAATGCTCTTGCCTAAGGGACTTGTAATGTTCACTCACTAGTTCAGCAGTGGTGCCTACAATGTTAATGAAGTTAACTAGCCAGGTTCTGCTGCTCTGGGGATAGGAAATGGCTGCTTTCCTTGTATTTTCTATAAATAAATAAGATTGCGCCAGTACCAGATAAAAATGCAAATGCAAAGAAAGCCATTACTGAAGCATTCCATTGACCAATTCTGTAAGAGGCCATTTGTAATCTACTTTCACAGCTGTGCTGATGAGGAAGAAATAAAACTCCCAAGGAGGAAACTTTTAACGAAAGCACAATATATTTTAAATCCTCAATAGTGCTTTGAACATTACACTAGACAAGTTGGCACTATGGACCTCACACACTAGAGAATGAATCCGCTTTAAATCTGGTTGCTGCCTCCTGCAGGATTCTGGGGTTTGTAGTTTAGGGAGGCACCTTTAACAGCCTTACAAAACTACAAAGCCCAGAATTCTGAAGGAGGCAGAAACCAGATTTAAAGAAACTGGATTCATTCTCTAGTGTAATGAACTAGTAAAAATAGTTTATATTGTTTAAAAATAGGCACAAATTAGTTTTGAAGAAGCACAGGAGGACATTGAAATGCAAGAACCTGGTACCATTTGGATTCCCAGTGGAGAGTGAGTGAAAAATTAAGTATCCTGTTTCTAACTGAGAACAGGACCAATATGGAAGCATCTTGAATATGCAGTGCCATATATTCTGACTCACAGAGGTATTTTAAGTTCAGGCAAATTTCATGTGAATTTTCTCTTAAACAGGAGGAAATACAACTTAGTGGGTTGTTGAAAGTTTTTCGGGTTATATGGTTATGTTCTAGAAGTATTCTCTCCTGACATTTTGCCTGCATCTATAGCAGGCATCCTTAGAGGTTGTGAGGTCAACAGACCTCACAACCTCAGAGGATGCCTGCCATAGATGCAGGCAAAACGTCAGGAGAGAATGCTTCTAGAACATGGCCATATAGCCCGAAAAACCTACAACAACCTAGTGATTCCAGCCATGAAAGCCTTTGACAATACATTAAATACAACTTAATTTTATTTGGGATGGGGGGGGGGGGGAGAAAAAATCGTGTTTTGAGAACACAGTATGGTTAAACAATGCCGCTTCACCCAACTTTACACCATGGTATGTGAAAATTTTCAAATTGAGAAATACCATTTTACAAATCAAAGGGACTGTACTGTTTTCACCCATTTCAAAGGCATTGACTAAAGTTCCATGGAAAATTAGTGTAATCATGCATTGAATTGTGTTTTCTCAAAGATCACTGGATTGTACGTGTAATCTTCTAACTCTAGGGAGCTTGAAACTTGTTTGTGAGCTCCTTGATCTATAATGTATAGCACTTTATTTAGAAAGGTACTGTGCAGCTAAAAATATTTTTTTGTGGGAACTCACTCAGTAGCACAAGAGAGGCTACCTCCAAGCAGTGTTGTTTGCTTTTAGAACAAAAAGAGCACATTCAGTTCTTTAAAGAGCTTTACAGTTTTTCTCATTCATAACCAAGACCCCATGGTGTCCCATAACTGGTCACTGAATAAATAGCATATCAGATTAAGGATGTATTAATATCTTTACTCAAGTATAGCTTAGTTAATCACCCAGGGCAGTGGTTCTCAATCTGTGAGTCCCCAGATGTTTTGCCCTTCAACTCCCTGGTAAATTGTCTGGGATTTCTGGGAGTTGTAGGCCAAAACACATGAGAGCTCACAGGTTAAGAACCACTGACCTAGGCATTGGAAACATGCAAAACTCCAGATTTCCGATTGCAGTTGCTCTCAGCCCTTGCTAGTATAGCCAGCAGTGAGTGATAGGAGTTTTGTTCCAACAGTTGGTGAACCACATGAACGGTTCCTAGGTGAACCATTCTCAGCCTTCCTACAGAAGTTGAGGGAGCATAAAAGAGGAATGACTGTATCTATTTATTTTTTATTTATTAAAATATTTTTATCCTGCCATATATTAAAAGATCTCAGGTGGCATACAAAAAAAAAATCAGTTAAACCAATTTAAATAGACGACAACCATATTGAATACAATTAACAAATTAAAAAGAGGTATAAACAATTTAAAAAGTTTTGAAACCATGTGCATGAGTATTTTGAGATAAATCAGCAAAGGTCTCAAAGCTTTGATAAGTATCCATGTTTTTCCTTGGCTCTTAAATGATATGTTCAAGTGGAGAGCATTTCACAGTTGCAATACAGGAGAATAATAAAACTAACCCCTGTTCCCCATTCCCATTTCTGAGATTTCAGGTGTGGTTCAGAACTTAGCAATTTCTTCTCACATTGAAAAAGACAATTGCTGCTCGACTTCAGTTCAAATCCTTTCCCAAGCAATAAGTTGCCATTCTCCATAGAAGTGGAAATTTAGAATTGGGGATTCTGTACCTTAGAACACACTTATTCACACACTCAATATCCGTGTTTTCATTTACCCATGTTCGACTCCATGGAGATAAAGAATTATGTTTTTGATGCTTTCAGGCAGGGATACCCAGCACTTCTGTTCAGATATGCTATCTTCATTTTCTTGTCCTGGAAACTCAGTAGTCTGGAGCCCTTGGTGGTGCACTGGGTTAAATCCTTGTGCTGGCAGGATGGCTGACTGACAGGTCAGCGGTTCGAACTTCCTCTGTCAGCTCCAGCTCCCCATGCGGAGACATGAGAGAAGCCTCCCACAAGGATGGTAAAACATCAAATATCCGAGTGACCCTTGGGCAGCGTCCTTGCAGACGGCCGATTCTCTCACACCAGAAGTGACTTGCAGTTTCTCAAGTCACTCCCCATACAAAAAAAAGTAGCCTGCGTAAATGGCTTGAGAATAGCAATCTCTGTTTGGTACAATAGTGTGCAACAAATGCAGTAGCTGGGGACAGAAGTGGAGGTAGTGGTATGAAGCTGTTGCAGCAAAACTTTTTCTGGAACTCTAAAGATTAACTCCATTTTTTTATGTCATCGTCTTTTGGGGACACTGTTCATTTCAAGCAATCAATGTCCATAAAAACTTATGCCAAATTAAAATGCCTTGCCTTGTGTTAGCATGTAATAAGGCTTTCTGAGGTAAATAAAGCAGTTGTTGGTATGTGAGCATTTACATTTTCAAAACAGATAAAGGAACATACATGCTGGGTTTTTTTTTGGCAGTCCTTGAGTTAAGCCCAATGTTAAACCTATTTAGAGTCATCATCGTAGATGATCCCTCATGGCCTAGTACAATTGTCTTCCAAAAGCAGAGTTTTGTGGTGGGTCCATAAGTGTCTGTAGAGATCAATTCTGGATCCACATGATCTTTCACAATGAGGACATCGATTTCCAGATGGAAGGTGATCCCAACAAGGGTTTGCTTGATGTGCCTTCTGCAGATCTATTAAAATTAATGGACCTGAAGTTCGTATTTAAAGCCCATTTATATAAATAGTCCTATTCCCACATAGGACTAACATGCATTTCAAACCAATGGACTACACTCAGTCTAGCTTGGGTGGTGCTTCCTTCCTTTTTCTTTTTCCACAACAGAGCCAATTTTTGGACATACCTTTTTTGTTGTATTCAAAATATTCACTCTGCAGGCTTCTAGCATTGTAGTGAGGAAGTGAATTCTCCATTTGGTTCTTGTTGATTCCTCCAGCAGAAGTCCACAATTGGATGCTTCAAAATGTGTAAGAGTGACCTCATATTGTTGATATATTTTATATATTGATATATATGAATTGTAGGGTTAAATCATTAAAAGTCACCAGAAAACTGATTTAACTAAACTGTGGAGTCCCAAACTATCTTAAGATAAGCCTTCAAATAAAGGATTGGTTTCATAGGTATAGTCCCAGAATCACTGGTGTATTGTTTTTATACTGTACTTTTTATATTTCTCTTTAATTCTCTTGTTCAACAAATTTGTGTTTTGTTACTTTTTCGCCGTGAAGTCCGACATATTTAATTATGTTGTTCACTGCTTCTCCCTTGGTGTATGCTTAAGCAATGGGTGTACCACGGAACAATGGTGCAAAATAAAACATTAATTATGAAATTCTAGATATGTCTGGTTTTAAAGCTTCTTTTTTCCAGTGGCATTTAGTCTCAGATTACATTCCCAAGCACTTAATGGTTCCTTCTTGAGTGAGCTGAGGGACTCTTCAACTCTGGGCTGTCTACACTTTTTTAAGCCATGTGAGTTTGCTGTTGGAGGTTTCAAATATACCATTATTGTTGCTGGTGGTGGTTCTCTTCCCACTCTCACCAACATTTGTTCGACCACACAGTGAAATCAATTGAGGAACTATATCTGTTTTGACTTTAATTCCACAACCAGAGCACACTACTTCAGGGCTTAACTGCCAATGGAAACAATAGCAATCATTTTCTGTGGATCCATGGCTGCAGTATTCCAACAGGGATAGTAGCACTTCTGCATTTTTACTAAGGGCCCTTCTACAGATTCAGTAAAACCTGGAAGTAACCGGGATAAAAGGAGTGGGGAAAGTGCAAGGGGAATCGGGTTAACAGCTGAAAAACATGTGTTTCCACCCAAAAAAATGTGCACCTTCGCATGGCTATATATCCCTGCAGGCATGCAAAACATGTGACTTACTTCCCATCCCCATGTGAACTGCTCCACTGCACATGTGCATTTCAAAAGCCCGAAACAGCTGATTGGGCTGTCAAAAAATGGGGCCACAGACACACAGGTGGCTAAAGTAAAGCATAATTGGAAAGCAATTAGAACTCTCAGCAACCATTTCTTTCTTTCTTTCTTTCTTTCTTTCTTTCTTTCTTTCTTTCTTATAATATTAAATAGCGCTTGACTTAACAGTTGGGTGAAGAGAGATAAGGAATCTGTGTGTGTTCATTGGGAGCTCCACATGTGCACATATGAGATCCAGTGCATCTTGGACAGAATTAAAAAAAAAAACTTCCACCAGTACCTCTTCCATCTTGATCTGCTTCAAAGGAAGATGTGAGGATGGCAGGGTACCATTTGCTGGGACTGACAGGTCTGTGTGTGAACTTGCTGTCAGGTCCCAGGGTTTTTTGAACCAGTTATTAAACCCACATTTTAATGCTCTCTGGAAGTGCCCTAAGATGGAAATGTCCACCTGATTCTTCTGCTGCACATTGGAAGGTGAGTGGCTCAGAAGGAGAACCTAACCAGGGCCAGAACTGTGTACACACTGTCTGCATACACTTGAAAGGTGAAATATTCACCTCTGCTTTTGGTTAGCCATGCCACTATATCCGTATAATCCTTTAAAGCACATCTATTCACAGTGGTGCTGAGTGGAATCAGCAGGCTATTGGCTGCTGATACACTACATATTTCTGGGAAATGTTATTGTCAATATGCACAAATAATATACTGGTCCCCGGTACATTTGGGGTGAGGGTGGGGCACCCTGCTGGTCCTCTAGTTGGGTGGCTCAAGACACAGTGATCTTAACTGAAATTAACATTGTGAACAGTTTTAGATAACTATTTTGAAGTGGTTTGCAAAGTGAGAATGTTCAATCCTCCTACCAGACGGGACATAATGACCACCCAGGATTATATTTTTGTGTAGAGCTTCAGAATCAGAATTATCACCAGAGTTGCAGACACTTGACATGTACAGATATTTTTACAGACAAAATCTAACTGCACTAGGGTAGGTGCAGGTGGGTTGGTCCCAAAGAAGCTAAGGTTAGTGGTTGCCCTAGATCTGTGGTTCCCAACCTTTCGCTCTCCATGTGTTTTGGACTTCAACTTCCAGAAATCCCAGACAGATTAATTGTGGGAGCTGAAGTCCAAAACACTCGGAGAACCAAAGGTTGGGAACCACTGCCCTAGATGAACTAAAATTATTCTATTTTATTGTAGACTGAACAGCTTAACAGTAGCAGGTGAAATTATTATGAATTAACAAGTAGTGTACAGCCTTTTTCTTATTTTTTTTATTTTCCATTTCAGTAATTGAGCACAGTATTTGTATTGCATAATTCATCTTGACTAAATACTAGGCACCACCATCAATATATTAGAAGTCTCCACTTCACCTATATGCATGCATTTTAAAAAATGAATAAATTCAATCCTTAAACCATTCCAAAGTCATGTTGCAAATCCAACCTAGATTACAAAGTACAATTTTAGTACATTTCTTATGAAGTTTTTGGAGCACCAAAAGGAAATCCTGGCCTTTTGATTAAATAGAGACTGGCTGGTGAAAATGTTAAAACCCTTAAGAGTTGGGTTATCAGCCAATGAAGCTACCTGTGCGCACCTCCTTTGAAGGGCTTTATCCCAAGATATGTACAAATCCTGGGGGGAGGGGAGGTGCAATGGCAACTTCAGAAACTGGCTAACCTTTACTCTAGATTGGGGTAGCCCTGCTGTAATCTTTATCATGAAAGAATTATTTATTTTTTAAAACATGTAAACCAGTTCTTATCCAAGATGAATTCCACTATGCATAAATATTAAATTATCAATATAACATTAAGATAACAAAAATTAAAAAATATTTGCAATACAACAGAGGTGCAAACAAAAAAGTATCCATTCAGTTAGACAATATAATTAGTTTTAAACAGCTGAAAATAGAAATGTTTTAACTTGGCACTAAAAAGAATGCCGCACCAGCACTCGCTGTACAACCCTTGGGTGGGATTTCCAGTACTGGGGTGCTAACACTGAAAAAATAACTTGCACTTCAGGGAAACCAAATGCATTCTTCTGTTGATGGAATTCCAAGAGGGGTCTCAACTGAGAATCTTAATACAGGGATAAATTAATATGAGAAGGGGTTATTATTCAGGTATTTGGGTCCCAAGGCAACAGCACCTAGAATAGGCTTGGCAGCAAATTGGCAGCTACTGCAATCCTTTCAGAATTAGTATTAGCTTGGCTCTGTCTAGATAACCATCCCATAATTTTAGTGACTGAATGCTATGCTAGCTAAAGTCAGTTCATTTATGTGTGGTACTCTGATAAAGAGAAGTTAGTGTATCTGCAGTCATTACGAAATGACAGAATGCAACAATTTAAAAGGTACCTTGCCTTTCCTTATCAGAGCAGAAGCAACTCGTATTTCTACAGGCTCTTTAGTCCCTTTGTCTACTTCAGTGGTTCTCAACCTGTGGGTCCCCAGATGTTTTGGCCTTAAACTCCCAGAAATCCTAACAGCTGGTAAACTGGCTGGGATTTCTGGGAGTTGTAGGCAAAAACACCTGGGGACCCACAGGTTGAGAACCACTAGTCTACTTGGATCACATTGTTTTGAGTATTGTTGTGTGCCCTTAGGTCATTTAGACTTATGGTGACCCTAAGGTGAACCTATCATGGAGCTTTCTTGGCAAGATTTGTTGGGAGGGGCTTTGTCTTTGCCTACGGCTGAGAGAGTATGACTTGCCACTGGGTTTCCATGTCTGAGCAAGAATTCAGGCTTTGGTCTCCACTAAGTCACACTTGCTCTCACGTACCCCATTGCTATCTGAAAGCCAAAAACACAACAATAAAATTTTCTTGCCTTGCCTAGTTTTGACTGGGCTTTTGTATACATTTGGGAACAATTTGTTTACATTTGATTTTGATATGCTAAAGGGAGACTAAAGAAAAAAAACCTTGATATCTTAATAAGAAAAAGATTAAATGTGAAGAAGGTAGTGGAGGTTGGGAATAAGTCCCTGAAAACCACAGCCTATTCGGTTAAAGGGAGATGGGGGGAAGCACCTAAATAATTTGTCTAGACCTTGGAACATGTCATTCAGCTTGTGCTGAAACCAGGAATGGAAGAGATAAAAGCAAACATCTTTCTCTAGTTGATAAAAGAAGATGTATATTTGCATGATTATTCTCTTGTATCTTAGAATCCATGCTTAAGGGAAAATATACCAGCTACTCTGTGTGCTGTCCAATGTATTCTTTTCCCTCCTCTTTTTCCATATTAATCGTCAGTGGATGTCAAAACACACAACTGTTTCTTGCTGCTAGGTGCCTGCAAGGGTTGAGAGTGGAGGACGAGATACTACCTCCACTTGGCACAATTTAAGGTCTTTTGACCCTAAGATATGCAGGTGCTTTAAGACCTTCCATCAGTGAAACCCGCACCCAGCTTGTCACAGGCACTCAGGGGCTGTGCTTCTGCCATTAGTCACAGATCAAGGGTTTCCTATTCAGATCAAGATCAATGGGATACAAAAAGATGTTTGACAGAGATGTCCATGAATGTTCTGACCAAGTTACAGGACGAGGTAAGGAGATGACGTGATAGCTGACACTAGAAAATGGCTGGTGGGTGATGGATCGTATGCAGAAGGGATCTGTAACTTCAGTTCCGTTTCTTGAGCTGAGATGGTTCTTCTACTTCCAGATATTGCAGCCCAATCAGCATACCCAAAATAGAGAAACCTGAGGCAAAGGGATGGAAAAAGAGAAGGAACAGAATATTTGCTTACTGTCGAATCCCATTGCATTTGAAAAATCCAGTTTCAGTCCCCTGTTCAGTTATGACAGTTGATAGCCTTAAGTAGGTTACTATTACTTAACCTAATCTCAAGAGGGCTGCTCTAAAGCTAAAAATGTTTCTGAAAGACTCCTTCAGGAAAGAGCAAGTACAGCTCAGTTTTTGGACTACAACTCCATAATCCCGAGATGTGGTTGATAGTCCCAAAAGTGTGACTTTCTCAGTTTTTGAGAGTAGACTAGAAACACCAGACAGCCATGAAAACAAAACAAAACAGAAGGCTCTACTTACTTGCCACCATGAGTGGGGCTAGGACACCAATTGTTGCAGCTGCTGTGCCATAAATAAATACCTCAGAGAGGAAGTGAGCCAGTGCAATGAAGAAAGTCAAAAGTGTGATGTTGTAGAGGCTGCCAAAGAATAGAAAAAAGGAAATTTACTGAAAGGACATGACACTGAAAAAGCTGGAAAGCATTCTAACATTTCCCATATTTGCATTTGTAGTAAAATGCTAAGTCCTAGACTGGCTTCTGTATGACTTGGAAAATGTCTATGCCAATTCACCTGAGTACGAAATATCTCAACCTGCATTTGTATTTTTACTTGGATCACATTGTTTTGTGTATTGTTGTGTGACCTTACATACATTCATTTATGAGTTGTCAATATAAATAAACAATGTTTCTGCTTGTATGCTGTATGTTCATTACTTTCTTGGATGGATTTTATACCATATTCAGAGTATGATTGGGGTGGCCTGATTTAATGCACAAGTCACATTGTTTATATGTTATTCACTTTGGGGTGGGCGGGGCAGACAACTATTGGATTGTGTGATTTTAATGTTTATATTGATATGTTTTTCATTCCATATTTAATGTTAAATTATGTCATGTATTATGATTTTATTGATTTTTGTATGTTGTTATCATAATGTTAGGTTTCTTTACCTTCCTCTTTCTTCCCTTTTTTCCTTCTCTACCTATTCTTGGACTGCAACTCACAGCAGTCCTTCTGATCAATCTATCTACCTTCCTATCTATCTCTATCTAATCTATCTATCTAGCTATCTCTCTATTTGTTTGTCTATCTAATCTATCTGGAGGATTGCTGGGAGTTGCAGTCCAGGAATAGGAAATCGGAAATATGCAGGGATTGGGATGCTCTCAAATAAATCCAAGGAGAAGAAAGCTTGCAGCTTGGAAGCAGTGCATTTGGATCATCCTCCTCTCCTAAAGGCCTGGTCTAGAGGATGCTGGGAGCTGTAATCAGAAAGAGAGGGTGGATATGCTTTTGTATGTTTTGTTTACCAGGGGGAGTTGTTTTTGTGCATGCACTGTAGGTCTTTTTGTTCTTTTTTTTTGCATTTTAAGTTCCTTCTGTTGTGTTTTTCAGTGTTTTTATGAGTGATGGTCACTCGTTGGCCTAGTAGGTGTATTTTGTCCACATTTTGTGTCAATTCATCCAATGGGTTTTGAGTTATGTTAATCCCACAAATGAACATTAGATTTTTATTTATATAGACTAGCTGTCCCCTGCCATGCGTTGCTATGGCCCAGTCTGTGTATATGTGTTGTGTGTGTGTATATGTGTATATATGTGGTTTTGCACATGCATTGTAATGTATTTTTTATTTTTTGGCTTTTTAAGTCTCTTCTGCTGTGTTTTTATGAGTGATGGTCACTTGTTGGCCTGACAGGTGTATTGTGTCCAAATTTGGTGTCAATTCATCCAGTGGCTTTTGAGTTATGTTAATCCCACAAACGGACATAACATTTTTATTTATATAGACAGATGATCGCTTGGCACTGCAGAGTATTAGGGAAGCAGGAAGATTATTCAGTGTGTTGAAAGGGAAAAGAAAGAGTAATCGTAGACTCATAGTTGGAAGAGATGCCAAGGGCCATCCAGTCCAACCCCTTGCCATGCAGGGGCACATAATCAAAGCACACCCAGCAGATGGCCATCCAATTTCTGTTTAAAAACTATTTGTAGGATCTTTGGCATTAAGTAATCTACTTCATTGTAAGCTTCCAAAGACGATAATCCACTTCCTCAGTTGTGACTGAAGGAGTCTATGGAGCAGGAAACCTTTATTAAAATAAAGTGTTTAAGACTCAAAAGTGCTACAAGACTACTCTTTCTTTCTCCTCTTTATACTGAAGCACACTGATGCAATCTTGGTTTTCCTTTAAAAGCACAGCTCACCTTTGAAAAGTGACAGTACAAATGGCTGCTCAGCATGCAGTTCCTTGTCAGTTTGGGTAACAGAGCAGAAGCTGCCGACTTCAATGATTAAAAACTAAACATTTGTGGCTTCAACACATGATTCCTGTCAAGCCAATGGAGATGACGGAGGATGAACTGGCTGCTGGGTCTGGAACAGGCAGCTAAGTGCCGATCAGCTCTGTTTTTCCAAATGCACAGCAGGAAATGGAGACAGTACAGTATTCTGTGCTTCCCACAGCAGTGGACAGATTACTAATGAGTAACAAGGAAATAGCTATTGCTTTTGGCCTGCAGGCTACAGGTTACCTAGATGGTGCAATTAAAACAAAACTGGACATAGATGGATCATTTAAAACTAAACTGCAGTTTTTATTGTGTATTTTATTTCCTTGGAAGACAAAGCTCCCTATATGTTACAAGGCTGTTCCTGGATCTCCTAATTAATTCTGGTTCCATAGCAAAAGATACAGGGAAATGTTTTGAGCTGGCCCTTTTTTTCTAAGCCTGTTCATTCATCTAGGAGCCCCTGGTGGTGCAGTGGGTTAAAGCGCTGAGCTGCTGAACTTGCTGACCGAAAGGTCACAGGTTCAAAACCGGGGAGGCAGCATAAGCTCCCGCTGTGAGGCCCAGCTTCTGCCAACCCAGCAGTTAAAACATGCAATTGTGGGTACATCAAAAGGTACCACTCCGGTGGGAAGGTAACGGCACTCCATGCAGTCATGCTGGCCACATGACCTTGGAGGCGTCTACAGACAATGCCGGCTCTTTGGCTTAGAAATGGAGATGAGCACCAAGACCCAGAGTCGGACATGATTGGAGTTAATATTAGGGGAAAACCTTTACCTTTACTATTTATTCTTATATAAATCTTACTGATTTCACTGCAACTTACATATAGGCTTCAGTTTGATCCTTTAACATTGTCAATAAACTGTACATACAGAACACTTAGCACAGAATTCCTACAGGGAAAGGAAAATCGAGTGTGTAAACTAATGATTTGGGGGCGGGGGGGGGGAGCTTAGATATTGTCCTTCACTTCTATCATTCTTTGAACCTACGTTTGGTTGCGGATATCGATGGCACAGTAGCAGCGGATGACAGAAGACAGCAAGGTCCAAATGCCAAAGGTTCGAGCCTGAAGGCCGTTTACTGTGCAGAGAGAACAAATGCAGAATTAGATCACCTCCTTCTCTCATTTCCTCTGACTCCAGGTAGTTAGGCAGCAGGCCCAGAAAGGAGAGGAGGCCTCCAATATCAGTGAGGTTGGAAAACATTTGTCTCTATAGATGAGATTTGGGGCGGCCGGTGGGGGGGGGGGGGGGGGGGGGGGGGGGGGGGGGGGGGGGGGGGTGGTAGGGTAAGAGGGACAGAAAGAGGAAAAAGTAATAATCTTTTTCAGGTATACTTAATTTGTGTATCCTGCCTTTCCTTTTCCAAAAAAGAAATGATTCAGTACACTTTACAAAAAATGAAAATAGAATTATCCAAGAATGAAAACACATCAACAAATTGAAGACAAAAGGAAATACATATGTGTACATGTAAAAAGTAATAGTTAATAAATAAATCTGAAGGACAGCTTGGCTAGTTCAGAGTTCACAATTATAGCAGTATAATTGTACTATAATTGCCACAGCTGCATTTTTTTTGAATTCCTGGGATTTGTGCTTTGGTGAGGCGCTAAAATTCTCTCTGGTTGAGAAGTCTGAATACCCATCCCAATACTACAAATCCCATAGGATGGAACCATGGCAGTTAAGGTATAATCAAACTACTATAATTGTGGAGCATCAAAGGGTCCTGCGATACTTGTTCTAGACCACTGGTTCTCAACCTCTGAGTCCCCAGGTGTTTTGACCTACAACTCCCAGCAATCATAGCCAGTTTATCAGCTGTTAGGATTTCTGGGAGTTGAATGCCAAAACATCTGGGGACCCACAGGTTGAGAACAACTGTTCTAGAGGTAGGAACAGAGGCCCCTTCTACACTGATACCAGATTATCTGTTTTAAACTGGAGTATATGAGTCTTCACTGCCAAATAATCTGGTTTAAGAATACAATCTGGGATCAGATCCTGGGATACAGGGGCACAGTGGAAAGGGCCAGAGTTAAAGTGAAAGATGACCCGGGGCCTGTCTAGACAGGACCTTTATTGCGGTAACTCCCACAATAAAGGAGGGGCTGTCCAGACAACGTTCTCTGGTTTGCAGCAAATTAATTTGATAGTGGATTTATGCGGGATAAATCTGCTATTTCCAGTCTCTGGACTGCAGAATACTACAGTTCAGACAGTATTCCCACAGCTTATTGGGTTCAATAAGGGAATACCCACCCCCTCTCCCCAAGCCCCCAGAACTCTTAGAAAAGTAATAAAAACTTACCAGGCCTCCATTACAAGACTCGACAGGCTCTCTCAGTGCATAGAAATGATGCACCAGGAGAGTGGGGGGTGGGGGAGGAGGGAGAAAAATCACTCCCTCTCCCTCTCCTGGTGCGTCATTTCTATGTGCCAGGAGAGCCTGCCAAGGATTGTAATGGAGGCCTGGTAAGTTTTTATTACTTTTCTAAGGAGTCTGGAAGCTTGAGGGGAGTGGGTAGGGCCTCCAGATGTTCTCTCGGGCTAGTCCCGAGAGACCATCTGGACACCCACCCCAGAAAGCACATGTTTTCTGGGGTGGGTCTGGACAGGCCCCCAGGAAAATCTGCGTTTTTTAAATGCGGATTCTCCTGGGATAAAGGCCTGTCTGGATCCCACCTACATCTCCTGAGACATTGAATTTCACATAGATACTATCACTAAAGCAGTTCTCCTAAGTCATGCTGCCAACTATATTTTGAAGGTAACACATAAGGTAAATGAATGCATAAGCACGGGACCTATGGACTCACTACCAGTACACTGATCCTGGAAGACTATCCTACTCGGACAATGAGGCATTGCCTACATAAGTAAGTAAATTAAACTATATTGTTTTTAGGTCCTATTATTGGGGGTTGGGATCTCATTATTGGAGAAAAAGCAAACTATACACTCAGACATCCTTGTTTGCAGGTTTAACTTTTGCAGATCTGATTATCTGCTGATTTGATTAATGTGTTCTCTCTATGAATCTCAATATTGTCCAACACGGTTCTATAGTAAACATCCACCAAAAGGTGACTACAGAGTTGCACTGGAGAATGAACAGATTCCTCAACATGTGGAAGCCGCACTGTGAATGAACATATTAAAATTAAAAAGATACACAAAACTTGAAGAAAACAAAATCCAGAAAAAAGCAGTTAATTAGAAAGGGTGCAAATGGAACAAACACTGTCCATTGTTATATAAAGCAGTGGTTTCCAACCTTTGTTTCCTCCAGGTATTTTGGATTTCAGCTCCCACAATTCCTAACAGCTGGTAAGATGGCTGGAATTTCTGGGAGTTGAAGAGCAAAGCAACTGGAGGACCAATGGATGGAAACTACTATATAGGCTACTATCGTGTGTATTGTGTATGAACTCCGTGTTGTAAACCGGCCTGAGTCCCTCGTTGGAGGTGAGAAGACCGATATATAAAAGTTCTAAATAAATAAATAATAAATAAATATCAAAGAGTATTCATCATAACAAGTGCCTCTTCCATATTGTCTCCTACTAGGGCAAGACTATTTTACCAGTAATATTAGCATGTTCTACAATTTGTCAGAATAAACCATTTCAGCTGGCAAACCCTGATGGACAATATGGAAACTCCCTGGTTGTTCTTCCTAATCTCTTGAATTGTTCATGTCTATTGCAGAAAATTAAAAACTGTACACAACACACAACCTGTCCTGACTCCTATTATGCTGTTTCAGCCATTCTGGCATATAGGTGAGGAAGAGGCATTGTCTTGTGCTTTGCATCAGTCTAGTGCTGCCAACAAGCCTTAATACTATTGCACAGTAAATCTTTGCAGTTCGAGCCCTTGCTAGGATGAAATTATCTGGGTTGCTGGCAGCTACAGAGTCTCTTCAAATAAGCCAGAACATCTTGAAATATCCTAAGACTAAGCTCCTGATGTGGCAGGAGTTGCTAGATTCTGATTACTTAACACAGCTCATTCAGAGTGGCTGATATTAGATGTCTAAGAAGGGGGAAATATAATTGGCTGTTTCCAAACAGAAAAAAATGTCCACATTGTATGAAAAACAGGACCTGCAAAAAGTGCCATGGTTGGCTCCAGTGCTGGAAACAAATACAAGAATGACAAAATCTTCTGCCTTATAAATTCAGTGTCATGGCAAAATTCATAGTAATAATCTGTTATAGCTTGGTTTTTTTTGCTATGCGGGAATGGACAGACTCTAGCTAATACAATACTTGTAAATACAGAAATGCAAGAGGTCAAAGGGAAAGATTCTTGGCTCATAGGCAGAATTCAGAAGTTTGTTGCTGGACTTTCTAATATACCGTACACGTGGCCTTAATGTGTACTAATGTGTATACATGCAAACAGAAGTGAGACTAAGTAGGGGAAAATGGTGTGCACAGATAGGGATTTTATTTGCAAGGGAAGCAGATTATTCTAATGGGGGGGATTCACATATATATCAGTTTTCCAAGACACATATACTGGTTTAGCACTGAAGACTGCTCATATGCATTCATTACAGAAATGGAGAGGACTGCCTAATATAGCCACCTCCCAAGTGCATAAAGGAGTACACAGACTTAATTAACTGGAAGTAAAGCTACACATATAATGAGAGAGTGAGTGAGCTTGTTACATAAATTAGGGAGACAGGTTATTCCATGGAAATAGCAGAGTTGGTGATTCTCTTTCTCGTGGGGGAAAGAGCTATAACACAGCTTTCCAGAACCTGATATTCCTACAAACAGTGTCTTCTGGAATCCAAACAATGGATTGTTGTGGAGGTGATAGTCGAATGGAGCAGAATACACCTCTCTAAGCATAAAACAAGTATATCTGTAATGGAAACAATATAACTAGAGGGAATAAATTTGACTCAGTATAAAATAGCTTCCTCTGTTCGTAGGGATTATGCAACATTATACAGATCTGAGCTGGTTACACACATTTTCCCATTATACATATATACAGTGTTCCCTCATTTATTGCGGGTGTTACATTCCAGGACCACCCGTGATAAGTGAAAATCCACAATGTAGGAATGCTATATATTTATACCACATTCCGAGGGTGAGGCAGAAGTGAGGAGAGATTTAAAGGCACCGCACACCTTTTTTTGCTAGCTATCTCTGCTTTGCTTTGCAATCTCTCTTGATTAGCTGCCTCTCTCCCGAGGGGGAGGGTGAAACCCCCTTCCACACTCCATCATTGCCAGGAGGTGGGATTAGAATGCCACTCTGGGCAACGGCAAACATTCATAAACTGGGGGGCAAAAAACCGTGAAACAGCAAAGTCTGTGAAAAGCGAACCGCAAAGTAGCGAGGGAACACTACATGTTTTGGACAGCTCCAAGGGGCCTGTTCTTCACCTAATTTATAACGTTGAAAATATGCTTCTGCCTTCTACATTAGTGAGTAGAGGTAGACATAGGTCTGAATTCAATTGTTTGCTCCAACTAATGTAGCCTCGTGGAATCAATGATCTCACATAAGTATTGACTCCCCAAATTCGCGTTCATTCATTATGTCTACATTTGCTAGGATTAACAACTGGACGTAGTTCATAGTGATTCAGCCGGAACTGAAAGATGTGTGTCATGGAAAGGGAGGAATCTTGTGGGACCTGTAAGACTAACATATTTCAATGTTTGAAAAAGTGGTCTGGAGTCCATGAAAAATGCAACCACAAGATTTCTCTATACCACATATTAACACAGTACACCATGAATAGGCAAACCCAGGTCATATCCTTCCTTCCTTCCCTCTTTCTTTCCTCCTCCCCTCTCTCTTTCTCCCTTCTTCCTTTCCTTCCACCCTTTCGTCTTTCCTTCCTCCTCTCTTTCTTTCCTCCCTCCCTCCTTCTCTCTCCTCCTTTCTCCTGTCTTCCTTCTCCTTTGTCTTTCCTTCTCTCCTCCCTCCCTTCCCTTTCTCCCTCTCCCTAGTACCTTCCACCCTTTTGTCCTTCCTTCCTTCTCTCTTTCCTCCCTCCCTCTCTCCCTTTCTCCTTTCTCTTTCCTTCCTTCTCTCCTCCCCCCGTTTCCCTCCATTCCCTTCCACCCTTCCTTCCATCCTTCTCTTCCTATCTTTTTTCCTTTTCTTGTTCCTTCCTCATTTCCTCCTGGGGGATGTTTAGCTGAGAGGAGAGAAGGTAGAATCCCCTTGGGGAAATAGGGCAGGTTATAAATACAGTCTTATTATTATAATAGAGAGAGAACACAAGAGCCATGTTTCAAGATTGAGGAGGAGGGGAAAACTGATTTTCTACTGCTCTAGAGACCAGGACACAAGGGAGCAATGGTTTAAAATGGCAGGGAAAGATATTTGACTGAAAAGAACTTCCTAAGAGTAAGAGCTGTTGGAGAGTAGCATAGGCTGCCTCTGAGTGTGGTGGAGTCTCCTTCTCTGGAGGCTTTTACACAAGGGTTGTCTATTGGGAGTGCTTTGATTGTGCCTTCCTGCATGGTAGGGGGATGGACTGGATGGCCCTTGGGGGTCTCTTTCAGTGCTTGGATTCTATATCAGGGGTAGGCAATACGGGGTCGAATGTATATACTTTTTCTCTCCAGTCCACCATCTCATCCTGGCCAAGACCAACCCTTTTGGGATCCAAACGTTTCCTGTCTTTCCTTCACTTTCTGCCTTTGAAAGAGAAGAGGAAGGGGAGGAAAGGGCAGGAAGGGGACTTGGGGAGAACCCCCTTCCTCCTGGCACACCATGTGGCCCCCAAGTTAGAAAGTTTGCCCATGCCTTCAGTAGTGTCTCAGTCAATCTAAAGCCAAGCAACTGGAACTCTCAAGCAACTGGCAAAAAAAAGTCAAAAAACTAAAACATCAAATGTAAAAAGTTGTTTTTATAATATAGTAAAATACTAAAACTGTGTTACGTTAAGTTTGTCTTTACTGTTTTAATTTTAATTTCTGCATTTGAATATTAATATCAAATCAATACAAAGTTTATGGTATGGCTTGGCACAACTAGGGATATAGTATCAGTTAGGCCTATTTTGAATAATAATTCTCAAGGAATAAAAAACTATATTTATCTGGCAGCTGCCAATCCCTGTGGTTTCTGGTTAACTGGGAAGCTACTAAATTACGTACCTATTTATCTGAAAGCTGCTGCAATATCTTTAAAGGCTTTTAAACTTTTAAAGAAAAAACACTGTGAGCTACTTCAAGGAGTAAATGTTTAAAAATAAAATAAAAAAATATGATATATGAACAAGCATTTCCAAACCTCAAACAAAATATAGATCTTAAGGCTAAAAGTTGAGTATTTCCCATGTGTAAAAAAAGAAAAAAAGAAAATAGCCTTCCTGAATATCTTACCAAGGTTTGGCTTGCCTGTGTACAGCTTCTCAGAGAGAAAGCTGTGATCTCTGAAGCTTTGCACTGTGTTCCCCATGGCAATGATGGACACCATAACTAGCCAGCTACGGAGCACATTCAGGAAACGGCTCATCTTGCATCACACAACCTGCTCAGGGGAACAAAGGCAGATTCTGGAGTTCATGATACCACTCTGCATCATTATTCATAGTCACATTAACTATCCTCCACCAAATGTTTGCATACTTTCCTCCTAGATCAGTCGACCAAGAGTGGGAATCATTGAATTCCCCAGATGTTGCAGAACTGCAATTCCCAGCATTCCTTACAATTGCTTAAGTTGTTATCACAGCTGGGAATTGCATTGCAGCAACATCTGGAGAACCACAAATGTTCACCTTCAGAATGGACCTTTGGAGGGGGAAAACCACAGTTACATCCACCACTTTCTATAAGGGTCACCTAATTAAAAAGATCATGCTCCATAATAAAGACAAAGGACCTCATCACACTAGAGCATGTATCCACTTTAAATCCAGTTTTTGCCTCCTGCAGAATTCTGGGACTTGTAGTTTTGGGAGGGGCCTTTACACTGCTCTGCCAGACACATCCTGGGCCTCACTAAACTACAAACCCCAGAATTCTGCAGAAGGTGGATTTAAGGTGGATCCATGCTCTGGTGTGATGAGGCTGAAAGACAGAAACCTTACATCTCATCTACAGAGATATTGGCATGTGGTTAGTTACTGAATTGTCTCTGGTACCATTTCTGTACTGACCTAATTTGGGGAGAGGCGCAGCAGAAGCAACATTCAAGAATGCACACAGAGGACTAGTTGCACATCAATGTTGCTAATTCATTTGTTTTATCCCTGCACTCAGGTAGGGTGCATCTACTCTCTAGAATACGCTTTGACAGCACTTTAACTTTAATGGCTCAATGCTATGGAATCATGGGAGTTGTAGTTTTATGAGGTCTTCATTCATCTCTACCAAAGAGTGCTGTTATCTCAACCAAACTACAACTTCCAGGATTCCATTGCATTAAGCAATGTAAGTTAAAATGGTTTTATACTGCATTCATTCTATAATGTAGATGCACCAATTTTTCAGTGCATAACAGGGAAGGCCAGATAACCAAGAAAAAAGGAAAGTATCATGCAAGCTGGTTTTTTTTTTTGCTGTTCCTGATAGCCTGTCTCCTATTTTAATAAATGCACCAGTCTATATCATAGTTGTTGTTTTTTTGCTCTTCCTGATAGCCTGTCTCCTATTTTAATTGTAATATAGGAGCACCCACAGCATGCATATTTAGCAATGATGCACTGGAAACTTACTTTTTTAAAAATTGCAATACATCCCAATACAAAGATATTGCATTTTGGCATGCTGGAAACACCTAGCGACCATGATGTCCATCATCCTTGTCAAATGTCATTTTCTCTTGACAACTCTAATATTACCTGCCACCTGTTCCCTAACTTCATAATACCAACCCATCCACAGGGCAGTCCTCCATATGCAGCCCCACATCAAGGAATACCTCTATGCCTACCTTGCTCCTTAACAGGTTGTCTACCTGGTTCCCAGAGGCAGCAAGCTTTTCACCCTACCTCCAACCCAAGGAGCTGTAGCCACGCCCCCTTCGCTGCCTGCGCAATGATTGGCCCGCTGTCAGGGTTGTCGTTCTCCTGATTGGTTCTCACCTCCCACTCCAAGTCTTAGCCCCGCGCCACGCGAATGGCTGAGCGGATAGGTCAATCAAATATTTTGAAAGCGATTGGGCCGTTGTGACGTCAACGCAGAAGGGGCGGTTCGATGAGGCAAATTGCACCACTATCCTCCCTTCCTGGTTATAAAAGGATATTAGACGGCGCCATATTGGAAGAGGCATGTGGAAATGAATGAGGGGGGGGGGGGTTGGATAGGTGCGCATGCGCAACTGGGGAAAGCGCCTCGGGCGGGAGAAGGAGCCTGCGCTTGCGCAGACGCGCCTTCGATGAGGGAGAGAGCGAGCGAGGGAGGAAGGCGGTTGCTGGTTGGTTGTTGTAGTAACAGAGCGAAGCGCCGGCAAGAGGAGCCGCGGCTGCCGGGCCCTCCAGGGAGATGAAGCCGCAGGTAAGGGCGCCGCGGGCTTCAGGAGCGCCACAGCGGGCGGGCACTCACCCTCGGGAGGCTCCCAGGCGGAGGGCAGCAGGCGGTGCCTCCTACTCCCTCAAAGGTCCTGGGCCTGTCCTGAGGGGGGAACTTGGAGCAGCCCGCTTTGGCCCAGAAGAGAGAGGCCTCTCAGGGACACGGCAACGCGGGCGGGAGGGGGAAGCGACTTGGTTGGACTACAACTCCCAGAATCCACAAGTCCCCACGCTAGATTCAGTATCTATAGTGTTTAACATAGATTTCAAATTATGTAAACAAAACACAGTATAACCCAGGCATGGGCAAACTTGGGCCCTCCAGGTGTATTGGACTCCAACTCCCACAATTCCTAACAGCCGGTAGGAAAAGTGTTCTTGCCATACATCAAGGGAACCACTGACCGCATAGGGAAGCTGATGAGGAAACACAACATACAAACAATCTACAAACCTGTGAAAGAATCTGCGAACCCCACCTCCTCCAAGATGAACTGAACCACCTCAACTGGGCTCTCCAGGCCAATGGATACTCCACCTCAGACATCAGAAGAGCTGCAAGACCGAGAACAAGCCACGAGAGTAAAGATGAAGATCCACCCAGAGGAAAAGTGTTCCTGCCATACATCAAGGGAACCACTGACCGCATAGGGAAGCTGATGAGGAAACACAACATACAAACAATCTACAAACCTGCGAAAGAATCTGCGAACCCCACCTCCTCCAAGATGAACTGAACCACCTCAACTGGGCTCTCCAGGCCAATGGATACTCCACCTCAGACATCAGAAGAGCTGCAAGACCGAGAACAAGCCACGAAAAGAAGACGAAGATCCACCCAGAGGAAAAGTGTTCTTGCCATACATCAAGGGAACCACTGACCGCATAGGGAAGCTGATGAGGAAACACAACATACAAACAATCTACAAACCTGCGAAAGAATCTGCGAACCCCACCTCCTCCAAGATGAACTGAACCACCTCAACTGGGCTCTCCAGGCCAATGGATACTCCACCTCAGACATCAGAAGAGCTGCAAGACCAAGAACAAGCCACGAGAGTAAAGATGAAGATCCACCCAGAGGAAAAGTGTTCCTGCCATACATCAAGGGAACCACTGACCGCATAGGGAAGCTGATGAGGAAACACAACATACAAACAATCTACACACCCACCAAGAAAATCCAACAAATGCTACGTTCAGCAAAGGACAAGAGGGATCCTCTCACCTCTGCAGGAGTCTACCGTATACCATGCAGCTGTGGACAAGTCTACATAGGGACCACCAAACGCAGCATCGCCCAAACACGAATCCAGGAACATGAATGGCACTGCAGACTACTCCAACCAGAGAAGTCAGCCATAGCAGAGCACCTGATGAACCAACCTGGACACAGCATTTTATTTGAGAACACAAAAATGCTGGACCACTCTCACAACCACCATGCCAGACTACACAGAGAAGCCATTGAAATCCACAAACATGTGGACAATTTCAACAGAAAGGAAGAAACCATGAAAATGAACAAAATCTGGCTACCAGTATTAAAAAATTCTAAAATTGCAACAGCAAAAACAGCAGAGAGAAAAACAGGCAGGGACATCTAATCACCTTTCAAGAAGAGTTTGCTCCAGGCACAGTCAGCCCATTGTATGCTAATCAAGGTGGTCAGTTGAAAGATTCACACCTAGCCCAACTTACAAAAGCCCTTTGTCTCACCCTGGTCATTCCACAGATATATAAACCCCTTTTTTCCCCCAGTTCCAGCAGACCTCACCTCTGAGGATGCTTGCCATAGATGCAGGCGAAACGTCAGGAGAAATGCCTCTAGAACATGGCCATATAGCCCGAAAAAACCCACAGGAACTGAGCCGGTAGGCTGTTAGGAATTGTGGGAGTTGAAGTCCAAAACACCTGGAGGGCCCAAGTTTGCCCATGCCTGATACACTTGGTCCCTCCAGGTGTTTTGGACTTCAGCTCCCACAATTCCTAACAACCAGTAGGAAATGTTAATCATTTCCACTACCTTGGCAGCCACCTCTCCACAAAAGTCAACATTGACACTGAAATACAACACCGCCTGAGCTCTGCAAGTGCAGCTTTTTTCTGAAGTGTTTGAGGACCAGGACATCCGTAGGGATACCAAGGTGCTTGTTTATAAAGCTGTTGTCTTCCCAACACTGCTTTACGCCTGCAAGATATGGACTGTATACCGACGTCACATGCAACTCCTGGAACCAGTGTAGTGTAGCCGGGGGAGGGGGGGGGCTTGAGGGGCTTCAGCCCCCCCTCCCCGAAATTCTCATGGTGGTTCGCGAAAAGGCCTTACTGGTGCATTATTTAAACTGTTATGTTTATTCATATCATGATCTGATCACCATAATCAATATATCCCATATGCATGGGGTATTGGGGTAATGATACAAAAGGTTTGCTAGGCTAGACCCTCTTTCACTCAGACTCAGCCCCCCCTGAAATCCTGGCTACGTTTTTTTTTTTCACTCAAGAAGATACCTCTACCCAAGCACCTCAGCTCAGCCCCACGCCAGCAAACTCAGCACCCCCCCCGAAACCCCCCCTAAATTTTTTGCGCCCCCCCCCCCCCGAAACGAAATCCTGGCTACAGGCCTGCCTGGAACGATTCCATCAGCGCTGCCTCCGGAAAATCCTGCAAATCTCTTGGGAAGACAAGCGGACAAATGTCATCGTGTTGGAAGAAGCAAATACTGCCAGCATCGTAACCCGGGACCGAAGACTGGAGACCTCAGTACACTATACCTGGGACGTCGTCCTCTTCCACCGAGCACGCAGCTTTGGGAGGGACGCATATGAAGCGGTGAGGGAGGAAGGGGACACCCGCCTAGCCAGCCAGATCAGCCGAATCAACCCTGGCGATCAATGGGGTGACAGATGTCGCAGCCAGATCGCCCTCACATCCCCGCCAGCATCGAAGCAATGGTCCTCCGCCATCAACTCTGCTGGACCGGCCACGTTGTCCGGATGCCCGACCACCATCTCCCAAAGCAGTTGCTCTACTCCGAACTCAAGAACGGAAAATGGAATGTTGGTGGGCAGGAAAAGAGATTTAAAGATGGGCTCATAGCCAATCTTAAAAATTCTGGCATAGACACAGAACTGGGAAGCTCCAGCCCTTGAGCGCTCCAACTGGAGTCAGCTGTGACCAGCAGTGCTGTAGAATTTGAAGAGGCATGAATGGAGGGCAAAAGAGGGAAGCGTCCCAAGAGGAAGGCGTGTCAAGCCAACCCCTCCAGGACCGTCTTCCACCTGGAAACCAATGCCCTCACTGCGGGAGAAGATGCAGATCAAGAATAGGGCTCCACAGTCACCTACGGAGCCACCGCCAGTACACTGATCATGGGAGACTATCTTATTCGGAAAACAAGGGATCGCCTAAATCAAAATGAAATGATAGGAATTGTGAGAGTTGAAGTCCAAAACACCTGGAGGGCGCAAGTTTTCCCATGCCTGCTCTAGCAACTATTAAACACACATTCTACACTCCCGCCATCTCCCTCCACCAATATACATACATATCTGAGAGGGACATGGTTTTAAAATGTGATTTTCTAGTTATTGCAATTCACAGGTGTCTTGTTTTCAAAGAGGCCTTGCTTGCCAGAAATTGCTGATGCTTAGAAAATGCTGCCACAGAGAGAAGTTCACTACCTCTACTCATTACTCACCTCACTACCTCTGAGGATGCTTGCCATAGATGCAGGCGAAACGTCAGGATAGAATGCCTCTAGAACATGGCCATATAGCCCGAAAAAACCTACAACAACCTAGTGATTTCGGCCATGAAAGCCTTTGACAATACAGAGAAGTTATTATTGTCTATGTTTTCCATGGCTCAATGATACAAGTTGCTAGATAATACTGCACACCCTCCCTCCTTAATTTCTCACAGGCATGTAGAGAAGCAACAAACAAGTAGATAAGTTGACCTGTGGCTCCACAGCTCAGGGTCAGACATTTAAACTGTACTATTGTTATAAGCGTCTGCTGCTGGAAAGATAGAAGAACCAAGGAGATTCCATAATTGTCAGCTAAGGCCAATGAGATGATTGATTTCTGTATACCAATCAAACTGTGCCTTCTGTTTTTAATGAGAGTCATAAATATTAATGTAAACTAACTTTAGGTAGGACAAACTCTTTGATTGCATTCTCATGTGCGTGTTTGTCACTATTGCTAACGGCCACGTATTAAATAGCATTTTGCAGTTTTAAAGATGCAACTTTCCATGGTGTCCTTCCTCGCCTTCCCCGTGGAAAGGGGTGATCTGCTTTCGGATTTGGATTTATGAAATATGTTGGCCTTTTTGCCACACATATCTATACCTACACATTTATATGGAGAGTTTATATAAAAATTGACTTGCCGCCCTCAAAACTATTGCTAGTTGATTCTTACAGGCACATATGTGTAATGTGTGTATGTATATAGCAGGCATGGCTAGGCTGTTAGGAATTGTGGGAGTCCAAAACACCTGGTAGGCCCAAGTTTGCCCATGCCTGGTATATAGAATGAGAGAGCAAGATTATAAAGAATATAAAAAAAAATCCTAATCCACCATTATCAATGTAATCCTACCTCTACAAACTACACTGTAGCAACTGTTAGACATACATTCTACGCTACCACCATCTCCCTCCACCAACATACATCTATACGTATATCTACACATTTATATGGAGAGTATATATATAAATTGACTTGCCAGCATCAAAGCTATGGCTGGTTGATTCTCTCTCTCTCTCACACACGTGTGTGTGTATAGAATGAGAGAGCGAGATTATAAAGAATATAAACGAAATGCTAACCCACCACTATCAATGTAATCTAACATCCACAAACCACATTCTAGCAACTATTAAACACATATTCTACTCTACCACCATCTCCCTCCACCTATATACACCCCCCCAACACACACTTATATGGAGAGTATATATATAAATTGACTTGCCACCATTTAAGATAGCTATAGCCGATTGATTCTTACACATAAATATATGTGTATGTGTTGTGCCCTAACTGTGGGACACCTTTTCACCCAGACACCACGTAGGGATGAGATAATCCACTAAGTAAAGTCTATTAAGAAAAATATAAAAGATAAGAAAAAGCACAATAAAAAAGAACAATAAAAAATCCAAAAGCCAAATCCAGAAACTCCAAAGTTGCTGTGTATAGGTGACAGTTCCATGAATTAAACCACAAGAATTCAAAAACTTGTAACTTCACTTTAAATTAATACAGTGAAACAAAGCTTCATATGCTTGATCAAAGTTATATCTAGAACCTGAGAACAAACCAGAATAAACCAGACTAATAATCATGAAAACATGAAGAGGAATCAAAATTCAGAAACTTTAAACTTAACCAAGAAAAACATGAACAAGACTCAAAATCCAGAAGCTTGAACACATGAAGCAAGGCCATAGGACTTAAGAGTTGTTCCTATTTGAAATGCCATATTGTTTTCACAAAGGATGAATACAAAAACCCGGGGAAGCTGCAACTGGAGTGTTACTGGATTCAGCTGAGCAACCACTTGGTCAGGACCCACAAAGTGGGCATCAAGTTTATGGCAAGACGTCTGTGTTGGAAAAGACTTGGTGGAAAGCCACACACGATCCCCCACATGAATGTTAGGTCCTGGTTGCTGAGGGACATCTGCCATACATTTGTAATCCTCTTTAGCCTGATCCAGTAGAGCCTGTAACACTTCTCGAATCACTGTTAGCTCCTGAAGGCAATCATCTGCTGCTGAAACACCACCAGACTCAACGGCTGCGAGGAAGAAGTGAGGGTGATATCCATGATTAGCAAAAAAGGGTGACTCTTTGCTTGACACATGGACAGAGTTATTGTGCACAAATTCTGCCATTGGAAGCATTGATTTCCAATTATCTTGCTGATCATTGGCATAGCATTACAGACCCATCAGTTTGAGGGTTATAAGTGGTTGACATGCGAGCATCAATTCCCAACAGCCACTGCAATGCCCACCAGAAATGTGAGGTGAACTATGCACCACGATCTGTGACCAAACTCTTAGGTAATCCGTGCAGGCAGAAAATAGGATGTAAAAAGAGATCAGCTGTCTCTTTGGCAGTGAGTAATCCAGAGCAAGAAATAAAATGTCCTATCTTGGTTAATAAATCCACAACTACCAAAATAGTTGTACATCCAAAAGAGGGGGGGAGGTCTGTAGATACAATCTCCCAAGATCTGGTGGGTATGGGCAAAGGCTGCAGCAACCTGGCAGGTTTGCCCACTGTCAGATTGATTGAGCTAGACAACCACTTCAAAGCCTCTCTCAGCTCAGGAGGTTTAACAAAACTTACTGTAGGAAGTTTTGATCCTGTTCAGATAAGTGATGTGTCATATAACCTAATTTCATGCCGTGGGTTTGATATAGTGAATTAATGGAAGATATGTGTCAAACTGTATAGAGTTGTTGTGTCATGTTCCTTTGATAAGGATATATATTTTGACTGCAGGGTTGTGGCTGGGCTTATATAAGGTTTTTATATTTGGTGTTCATGTATATATGATGGTGGTAGACCTCTTATTTTGAACCTGAGTCAGTTTAAGTAAGCCAGATTGGATGAAAATGGCTTCAAGAAGATATGGCCGGAATGTGAAGGCTCTGTATGTCATACTACTGCTCCCTTCCCCATACTTGTACTTCTTTGTAATGACTTATGATTTAAGGCATGATTGTGATGATTTTATTTACAAATATTTATAAGCAGCATATATTAAATTAATTTTTCAAGCTGTGTGCATTAATAATTAAAATATAGACTGTAAAACAAGTACATAATGGCTGAGTCTGTATTAGATGCTGGTAGAATCTAAAGCTTTGCCAGCATATCCAGGATAAAGATCTGGGAGAAGAACGGGTATATTTTTTTCCATTTGGCTTCATGAAAGCAGCCAGATGGTACCTGGGTGCATCACAATGGCCAATCTGTGGCTTTTTGAGCCAAGGAAGGGGAAAGGCCAAAAAAGTGCTTATGCTGGCATAACTCCCAGTTATATGCTTGTTATGAATAACAGATTCTGGTGTAAATCGGTATAATGTGTGCGGATCTATAGAAATAAAATGTATAGTATTTTGAACATTAGAAAGCCTCACATAAATGCATTGACAGCATGGTTCTATAAATCTTATAAGAATATTAAGCAGACTTTCTATTTAATTGGACTCAAAGCTGTAGATTTTTGGAAACTATACTCTGTAATTGTGCCCAGACAGTTTAGATTAAGTGGTCTTCATGGAAGTTTGGGGGGGGGGGGCAGCAGCATCAATTCAAGAAGGATATGCACCTAAATGTGGGCTATTATTGTCCATCCTTCTGTTAGTTATATAAGGTAGTACAATTTTCTGAAAAAAATAAAACTTCTGTACAGAAATTTTTTTTTTCGTGGAGCTATATTCTTATCTTCATCTTTTGAGAAGCACAAGAGGATAGATTTTATTTTATCCTCCTTACAATTGGCAACATGGTTTAGAAGAGATTTTCATCTGTGAGTTGGTATCCAAATCAGTCTAATCAAGTTAGGCTTTTTTATTAGGAAGGAAGCAGAGCATAGTTATCCTATATCTCAGGTTCATTCCAATTGATACCTCCCTCCATTTTTCACAGGAAACAGCACTGGTTAGATTTACTGATTCTACAGGGAAGAATTTGAAGGGCCACTCTTTCTGGACTGTATGAAAACGTTCACAGGAAATGCCAGTTGGAATGGCTCGGGACTTAGAAGAAACAGACTCATCTTCAGAGGAAGAAGAAGAGGTGGAAGGACCAGGGTAAGTTAAAGTTAAATAACATGGTATCTGTACATATAATTACAGCTGTATACATTGTGTTTCAGAAAGCAAACATTGAGAATTAATTTATTCTGAATTAGTTGCACCATAGGAGGCTAAATATCAATGAGCAGATTCACATCTTAGTAAATGCTGTAGATCTGATTTTTCCCCCCTTATAATCTTGGAGGCAGAAGGTTTGAGTAGAAGGAAACACATGTGGCCCAATATTTTATGTCCCTGCTCTTTTTGATTTTTAATTGGTGGATTACCCAAAATGGGATTTTTTAAACTGAAGATACTGTGAACGGAACATGAAACTTGTTGCATCCCAAGTATGTATTTTATCATTTCATTTGGTCCTTCTCTGAATGGTTGCTCTTTGAATTTTGTGGTATTTTCTTTGTCTTTATCCTTCACCTGGTGTAGCTCTTTATGTGCCATTGAAAGAAGGCAGGGAAATAGTCAGCAAATATTGGCTTGATTTACCAGCTTCTTTTTGTGCATGCTATTCTCCATGAAGGTTTTTTGGTATACACAGAGTTAGAAGAGACATTATGCTATGGTTCAGTGAAGGTAAGTTCTTTCTTATAGAATCATAAAAGTGGAAGAGACCACATGGGCCATCATTTCCAACCCCTGCCATGCACAAGAAGCACAGCCAAAGTACCCCCAACAGATGGCCATCCAGCCTCTATTTAAAAACCTCCAAAGAAGGAGCTTCCACCACAGACCAAGACAGAGACTTCCACTGTTGAAAAGCTCTTATGGTCAGGACGTTCTTCAGGTGTAATCTCTTTTCCTGTAATTTGAATGCATTGCCCTGAGTACTAATCTAACAGACCACAAAAAACAAGCCTTATCCAAACTACAACACAATTCTAGGTCCAGGGATTATTGAGATCCATTTCAGTCTGGCTTCAGGTGCGGCTATGTGGCGGAGATAGCTCTTGTTGCCTTGGTGGATGATCCTTGCAGGAAACTGGGTATGGGCCATGATCCTGTTCGTTCTGATAGACCTTCCAGTGGTTTCTGTTCCATTGACCCTGGTATCTTTCTGAACTACTTCTGTGGAATGAAGCTTAGGGACATTATTCTTCAGTTGTGCCAGTTCTTCCTTGACACTGTTTTAAGATCTGTAAAGGAAGGCTTTCTTTCAGTCCCACCATCAGTGGCTTGATGAAGAGAGCATTTGCTGTGATTGGTTTGAGGCTGTGGCACTTCTTCTCCAGAAGGTCTAATTGGCCCCTTTCCTGCTGTCTTTCCACTGGCAGGTGAATACTTTTTATTTATTTAAGGAAGCACTTTTAAAATATTGTATGCTCCCTTGAATACCATGGTGGGAGAAAGGTGGGTTATCCTGATGTTAAATTGCAGCTCCTATTATCCTTCATCCTTAGTGGTGAAGATTAAGTAGAGAAGGAAGAGAAAAGAGTAGACACATTGAGAAAAGGCTCAATGTCATTAGTAGGGATTTTGTTTTACTGCTATAGGACAGAAATATTTACAGATGACTTTGTTGTTGTTGTTCATTCGTTCAGTCGTCTCCGACTCTTCGTGACCTCATGGACCAGCCCACGCCAGAGCTCCCTGTCGGCCGTTACCACCCCCAGCTCCCTCAAGGTCATTCCAGTCACTTCAAGGATGCCATCCATCCATCTTGCCCTTGGTCGGCCCCTCTTCCTTTTGCCTTCCACTTTCCCCAGCATAATTGTCTTCTCTAGGCTTTCCTGTCTCCTCATGATGTGGCCAAAGTACTTCAACTTTGTCTCTAGTATCTTTCCCTCCAGTGAGCAGTCGGGCTTTATTTCCTGGAGGATGGACTGGTTGGATCTTCTCGTAGTCCAAGGCACTCTCAGCACTTTCCTCCAACACCACAGCTCAAAAGCATCGATCTTCCTTCGCTCAGCCTTCCCTAAGGTCCAGCTCTCACATCCGTAGGTTACTACAGGGAATACCATGGCTTTGACTAGGCGGATCTTTGTTGCCAGTCTGATGTCTCTACTCTTCACTATTTTCTCGAGACTGGACATTGCTCTCCTCCCAAGAAGTAAGCGTCTTCTGATTTCCTGGCTACAGTCTGCATCTGCAGTAATCTTTGCACCTAGAAATACAAAGTCTGTCACGGCCTCCACATTTTCTCCCTCTATTTCCCAGTTGTCAATCATTCTTGTTGCCATAATCTTGGTTTTTTTTATGTTTAGCTGCAACCCGGCTTTTGCGCTTTCTTCTTTCACCTTGATTAGAAGGCTCCTCAGCTCCTCCTCGCTTTCGGCCATCAGAGTGGTGTCATCTGCATATCTGAGGTTGTTAATGTTTCTTCCAGCAATTTTCACCCCAGCTTTGCATTCATCCAGCCCCGCACATCGCATGATGTTTTCTGCATACAAGTTAAAAAGGTTGGGTGCGAGTATGCAGCCTTGCCGTACGCCTTTCCCAATCTTGAACCAGTCTGTTGTTCCGTGGTCAGTTCTGACTGTTGCTACTTGGTCCTTGTACAGATTCCTCAGGAGAGAGACAAGGTGGCTTGGATGCCCATCCCACCAAGAACTTGCCACAATTTATTATGATCCACACGGTCAAAGGCTTTAGAATAGTCAATGAAGCAGAAGTAGATGTTTTTCTGAAACTCCCTGCCTTTCTCCATTATCCAGCGGATATTGGCAATCTGGTCTCTCGTTCCTCTACCTTTTCTAAACCCAGCTTGAACATCTGGCAACTCTCGCTCCATGTATTGCTGGAGTCTTCCTTGCAGGATCTTGAGCATTACCTTACTGGCATGAGAAATAAGGGCCACTGTACGGAAGTTTGAGCAGTCGTTCGCATTTCCCTTTTTTGGTATGGGGATATAAGTTGATTTTTTCCAGTCTGATGGCCATTCTTGTGTTTTCCATATTTGCTGGCATATGGCATGCATCACCTTGACAGCATCATCTTTTAAGATTTTAAACAGTTCAGCTGGGATCCCGTCGTCTCCTGCTGCCTTGTTGTTAGCAATGCTTCTTAAGGCCCATTCAACCTCACTCCTCAGCATGTCTGGTTCTAATTCATTCACCACACCGTCAAAACTATCCTCAATATTATTATCCTTCCTATACAGATCTTCTGTATAGTCTCGCCACCTTCTCTTGATCTCTTCAGCTTCTGTTAGGTCCCTGCCATCTTTGTTTCTTATCATTTTTATACCAATTTTTGCCTGAAATTTACCTCCAATGTTTCTAATTTTCTGGAAGAGGTCTCTTGTCCTTCCTATTCTGTTGTCTTCTTCCACTTCCATGCATTGCTTATTTAAAAATAGTTCCTTATCTCTTCTGGCTAACCTCTGGAATTGCGCATTTAACTGGGCATATCTTCCCTTATCCCTGTTTCCTTTTGCTTTCCTCCTTTCTTGGGCTACTTCCAGTGTCTCAGCAGACAACCATTTTGCCTTCTTGGTTTTCTTTTTCTTTGGAACTTACTTTGTTGCCGCCTCCTGAACAATGTCGCGGACTTCTGTCCATAGTTCTTCTGGGACTCTGTTTACTAAATCTAGTCCTTCAAATCTGTTCTTCACTTCCACTGTATATTCGCTAGGAATGTTAGTGAGATCATATCTAACTGGTCTGTGTATTTTGCCTGATCTCTTTAGTTTTATTCTAAATTGAGCAATAAGAAGTTCGTGATCTGAGCTACAGTCAGCCCCAGGTCTTGTTTTCACCGACTGGATGGATGTCCGCCACCTTTGGCTGCAAAGGATGTAGTCAATCCGATTTCGGTGTTGACCATCTGGTGAGGTCCATGTATAAAGCCGTCTTTTAGGTTGTTGGAAGAGAGTATTCGTTATACACAGCGAGTTTTCCTGGCAAAATTCTATCAGCCTGCGTCCCGCTTCATTTTGTTCTCCCAGACCATGCTTGCCTGTGATCCCAGTTGTCATTTGACTTCCCACCTTGGCATTCCAGTCTCCTGTAATGAAAATAATGTCTCTTTTTGGTGTATTATCCAGTAGGTCCTGCAGATCCTCATAGAACTGATCTACTTCTGCTTCTTCAGCAGCTGTGGTTGGGGCATATATTTGGATCACTGTAATGTTGAAAGGCTTTCCTTGCACTCGAATTGAGATCATTCTGTCATTTTTTGGGTTGTATCGAAGCACCGCTTTAGCGAATTTCTTATTAATTATGAAGGCTACTCCATTTCTTCGATGTTCCTCTTGTCCGCAGTAGTAGATCTGGTGGTCATCTGATGTGAAGTGGCCCATTCCAGTCCATTTCAGTTCGCTGACCCCCAGAATGTCTATCTTTAGTCTTGACATCTCACTGATAACAACATCCAATTTGCCCTGGCTCATAGATCTTACATTCCAGGTTCCTATGGTGTGTTGATCTTTAGAGCATCGGATTCGTCGTTCACCTCCAGTACCGTCGACCGCTAGCCTTCCTTTCGGCTTTGAGCTAGCTGCGTCATCACATCTGGGGCTAGTTGAACTTATCCTCTGCTCCTCCCCAGTAGCATTTTGGCCATCTTCCGACCTGGGAGTCCCATCTTCCAATGGCATACCGACATATCTCTGGTTGTACTGGTCCATTTAGTTTTCTTGGCAAGGATACTGGAGTGGTTTGCCATTGCCTTCCCCAGGGATGACTATTAAAGGATGACTATTAAAGGATAATTTTTGAAACTGTATTCAAAGATGTAGCCTTATTCTGTACCAGCAAAAAAACACACAAAAAAACCATAAAGAAATATTCTAGCAGCCTTGAGGCTAATGGAGAAAAAGCCATTTCTAGTATAATATTTTGTATACTCCAGTCAATTTCAGTAGATTGTTGCAGGGACAGGAGTCCAAAAAAATTATGCTACGTTTTTTCAGTTTGTCTCAAAGGTGTGGCTTAATGGAAAATCACATGTAGTTCATGTTTGATCAGAGAAAGAAAATATGCCACGCAGATTATCAATAAAGAACAAGTAGTTTGCTCTTCGTAATACAGATCAACATATATACAATCATGTGATCAGTTGCATTGACTCACACAATGTCCTTTTAGAGAGATTTAAAATGATCTGTCTTTGTCCCTGAGGATAAACTCCTTCAGCAGCTCATGAAGCAAGAGCATGCTCCAAATTCTGTCTCTCTCTGCTTCTGTCTTCTTCTCTCTGCACCTGCATAGCTGAACAAAAATGTAACAGTATCTAAAAGTCCCAGGCTTAGCAATCTCTCTGGACGTAGCCTGACTAATCAGCTTCATTCATCTTATTTTACAGTTGACACAAACACACTCACTGACTCTTTGCATGCCCCAACAAAAGGTGCTAAATTTTATAGTATTTATGGTTTTTGTAATGTTAAGAACGATACTTTGTAACTGCGTTATTCCTCTTCACTTTCTCATTTCATTTCACATCATATCTATTCAACATCATGTATATGGAATATCTTTTTTTCTTAATATCTATGCAATGCTTAGTCAATTTTGGTGCTTTATAGGTGACAGGCAGTTGCTTGATCACTTGAATAATATTGCCTTTTAATGTGTCCTTTATTTGACAGTTGGACATTTATTATGAATTGTACTATTTTCCCTGAGAGTGGAAGTCTAATTCATTGTAATATATTTAGCTATTGATATCATGGGTTATTGTAATGTTTCTTGAATAGCTTCCTAGTGTCTTCCTTTTTGAGCCTCCTCCACATGCCTACTGGTTTTTTATGCTTATTTTATTGAGGGCAAAATATTCCTTTAGTATTGGAGTAGGTATTTGGGTAGGTGTTTCATTTTCTTGAAATACTTTTCTTGGAATCGGTGTCACCCTTCCATAGTCATCCTTATCTGTATATTCATATAATTTTCTCTTACTTCAATCAGTGCTGAGCTAGATGCTGCGTGCAGAGAACTGAATTATTCCTATCCAACCTGTCAGTTACTTCTCCAGGTAACCAAGGGTCATGAAGAGGATATAGTCATTTGGGAGCATGTCTGAGCCCTGGCGTTATTACTGGAAATCCAGAGGACAGGACTTAGCCTAAAGCCCTTTGCTGCAGACTCGGCTCTGTTCCCACTTATATAAGGTGTTGGGCTTGACATAGTAAAATATTCTTCAGCTGAAAATCTTTCCTAGTGCAGTATTTCAGGGTGAAAAGCTTGGGCAGGAGGTTGGAGAGGGAAGATGGGCTTTTAATTATTAACACATTGTGAAAGAGAAGGAAAACAGTTTATTGTGATTACCTCCAGTCTGTGAATTTTTATACTTTATTGGTATAAATTATCTTAGACTTAGGGACTGTGGTGACACAAAGGGAAATATTGCTGTTTTTTAGAAGCTTAATTACTCAAGATATGTGAAATTTTAGAAATATTTAATGTCATAAGCTTGAGAACTCCAGCAATCTAGCCTATTGGATGTAATGGTTTGCAAGCTGTTTCTGGGAACATAGGAAATTGGCTTATATTGAGTCAGACCATTGTTCCATCTAGCCCAGTACTGTCAATTCTGATTGTTAGTAACTCTTACAACTTTCAGCCAGGCTTTTTTTTTTTTTTTGAAGTTCTATCTGGAGCTGTCTTGTGTCTGTTAGTGGTCTTCTATCAAAGTATTAACCAGGCCCAAACCTCTTTAGTCTCTGAAATCTGGCAAAGTCAGATGTGTTCAGAGTGGTGTGATGCTGATATTTCTGTGAATTTGGTTTGTTTTTTCTGCCATTTTGTGCTCATGTAATTTTTCATATGCATATTAAAATTTAAGGGGTTTAGGCATACTGCATTGGAACTATCTGTTTGTCAATGTCTCTCCATTTGGCTCAATGCATGACAGTAACACAGCAACATATTGTTGCTGAGGTGTTGCCTTAGCATGGGTTGCCACAATACACTGTCTGTTTATTTCCTGACTCACAGAGATCTGCATTAAGGAAATGTAAGGATTTGTCTTGTAAAACTGCCTTGAGCAAATCTTTCTTAAAATATCAACTCTGTTTCTTTTTCCTAGACATGAATTCTCCTTTTTCTCTAAATGGTAGATAATTTTTTTTAAAAACCCTTACATTTACCTTAATTGGTAAAGACTTCAGAGCAGTATCCATAGGTGGGAATAGTGTCTGAACTGTACATGAAAAACTGTGTTTTGACCTGTCACTTGTGTTTGGAAAACTTACTGGTTTTCTTCAGCTGTAACTATTGTCATGTAATGTGAACTGTGTTTGGTATTTCTGAATCTTTTGGTTCATATTTAGGTAATTTCAATCTGTGTAAAGGTGGCTGCATATAATAGGTAGTTAAACTGGACTCCTTCATGATGAGTAGTGATTTAGTATCTTGTGCATATTCATAAATCTTTCTTCTTGTTCAAGGGAGCACCCGTGTATCACATGGACAGGTGGTTTTAGAAGAATCCCAATCCTGGTGTTTCATGCAGATGCTATTATAACTAAGGACAGTTACACTCGCTTGATTGGAGGTAAGTGTAGTTTTATATAATTCACTGTCTTGCTAAAGACTGTCATGTTAAAGAGAACTAACTGAAGGAGAAAATATGCCTGGAAGTTAGTTTGATTTTTCTTTTGCTATACACAGTAGAGGAGCTTTTGATATATGATATTAAGTTGGAAGCAGCTGTTTTTTTAAGTTAAGAAGTTCAATACAAAAACAGTGAAAGCTTACAGTTAGAACTTAAGTACTTAATTCATGTGCCTATTAAAAATAAAACAGAAATGTGTAAACTGCAGTGTCATTCTAGCTGCATAAATCCCTTCCATAACTTGTATGCAATGGCATAATTGGGTATTGTATGATAAATGGGAATGTGCTGAGTTCTGTGGCAGTGTTTTCCCTTCTTCAAATGGTGAAATAGATTATGACTTTGGTTTGCTGATACTAATTTATATTGGGTTTACAGAGCGTTATCGACTGGCTTTTAAGATTGTGAGAACAGATAGTCGCCTTGTGCGCAGCATTTTATCTGCTCATGGATTCCGTGAGGTATGTGTGTCAGATCTTTGATTGTAAAATAACTGAAAATTCAGAGCGGTCGGCACTGCTTTTAGATCCAAGAAATAACTTGGATCTAAAAACCTATCATAGCTAGGGTGTATCAAACTATAGACAAGTAAACAGAACTAATAAACCACTTGCATTTTGGTATCTTGTCAAATATTTTGATTCTAACATGATGAATTTATAACCTACAGTTCTTTTCTTTTTTGAAGTTAAGATCATGTTTACGACATTGAAACATACACATTTTGTGTAATAATAATAATAATTTTATTTCTTACCAACCTCTCTTTTTGGCTTGAGGTGGGTTACAGCATTGCTAATAATCTAAAACATTATATAAAATACACATACTAAAACATATTTCTACAAAATACATATTAAGATACACAGAACATAGATTAAACATAAGATTCATGATTAAAACTGGCTGGGTAGGTCTGCTGGAAGAGATAGGTCTTTCAAATGTGTTGTAAATTCTAGCAGCTCATTTAGCTGTTGTAGCTCTTCTGGCAGACTGGAGTAACCTCCTCCCATAGGATCTAAGTGTTCAGGGCAGATTGTATGGGAGAAGGCGATCCTGTAAGTAACCTGGACTCTTTCTGGACAAAGGCCTTGGAGAAAAGTGTTATTTATATATATATGAATGCTCTGTGCATAATGAGTACCTTAAAAACAAAAGAACCAATGAAAGACATCACACCAAATTTGGCAACAAAATGTCTCACAACACAAGGAGTGACCATCACTCAAAAATTTATGATTTTGTCATTTGGGAGTTGTAGCTGCTGGGATTTATAGTTCACCTATAATCAAAGAGCATTCTGAACTCCACCAATGATGGAATTGAACCAAACTTGGCACACAGTTCTCCCATGACCAACAGAAAATACTGGAAGGGTTTGGTGGCCAGTGTCCTTTGGTTTTGGAGTTGTCGTTCACCTACATCCAGATATCACTGTGGACTCAAACAGTGATGGATCTGGACCAAACTCTACACGAATACTCAATATGCCCAAATGTGAACACTGGTGGAGTTTGGGGAAAATAGAATCTTGACATTTGGGAGTTGTAGTTGCTGGGATTTATAGTTCACCTACAATCACAGAGCATTCTGAACCCCACCAACAATAGAATTGGGCCAAACCTTCCACACAGAACCCCCATGTGGGCCACAGCAACGAGTGGCAGGGGACGGCTAGTAAATGTATAAATAGCCCCTAACACAGAACTTCCCAAACATTTCATGTTGGTGTCACTCTTTTTAGACACACATCATTTTGCAACACAGTAATTTAGTTTTACTAGCAAACCAGAATAAAGTTATTATTAACCAACCCCTTATAAGAGATATGGACACACACATAAATTGACAAAATGTTTGGGGACACAGCATGTCTCAGGAAAACCTTTCATTTATATTTTAAAGGTATGATTTATTGCTTATTTCAGATAGACTCAGAGGTTTCTTGTTATGTTTATTCGACACACTTACACAGTACAGCTGACACACTAATGTGTCTCAACACACTGTTTGAAAGGTCTGCTCTAACACATGGATGGAGAATATGTTCTTCAGATGTTGTTGGCTTGCAGTTTCTATTATGCCGTATAATTTGCTATGCTGACCAACAACATTTGGTGATCCCTCGTATTTAATATGAAATAATGTAGTCTTATCTGATTATCTTACCAAGAATGTATGCCTTTCCCCTAGGTGCACCCGAGTAGCAATGAATACAATCTTATGTGGACAGGGTCCCATCTGAAACCTTATGTCCTTCGATCACTCACAGATATTCAAAAAGTCAACCACTTTCCCAGGTAAGAAGAGAGTATCTGAAGATGGACTCTCCAGATGCTGACAGACTTCAGATGTTACTATACTTTATTTTGCATATGTCTGATTGGAATTGCAGTCTAACAACCTGTGAAGGTCCACAACATTCCCCAATCCTGCTGTGTGACTTGTGGAGTATTTGGAGGCAACTGAATCCTACATTATATTTTTTTTGTCTTAGTCTGAATGAAAAAATAATCTTTCATAGTTTGTTTTGGCTCTAAGACATGCCTTCTTACAGATACTTTATATTTATATTAACATTAGAACTAGTTGCTAAATTGGAAAAATCACAGTGATCTCTTGACTTGATTTTCTGTGCCAATTGCCAGGTTTTTTATTTCCCTTTGCTGGATGTCACTGCAGGAGGAATAATAAGAGAGACCATCAGGCATGTGTATATATTTGCTTAGAGGTGTAACCACTGTGCATGGACAATCAATTAGAGCCATTTCCTTTAGGAAGATACTCACGGTGATCAAAATTCTATATTTCCCTGTGTGCCTTTTGACTTCTAGGTCAGTGGTTCTCAACCAGTGGGTGCCCAGGTGTTTTGGCCTACAACTCTCAGAAATCCCAGCCAGTTTTCCAGCAGTTAGGATTTCTGGGAGTTGAAGGCCAAAACATCTGGGGACTCACAGGTTGAGAACCACTGTTCTAGGGTCTTTCCCCGTTCTCTTTGAGGCCTTGACAATTTTTTGAAAGAAATCAAGAGTAAACGATGCATTTACACTTTTAATGTAGTTCGATACCACTTTAACAGCTATGACTCAATGCTATGGAATCCTAGGAATTGTAGTTTTACAAGGTTTTTAGCCTTACAAGGTCTTTAGTGCTGTTTTGCACTATCCCATGCCCAACCCTTTTATGGCCTGGACACACCCATTTTAGTAATTCAGTTGGTTTTTGTTGAATACTGTCTGATGCTTCAATGCTACTGTTTTATTCTTTTATGTTTGATTTTGTATTATTTGGATTGTTGTATTTTGCAATGCTCTTCTTTTAGTGGTGTTTCTGTTTTAATAGATTGTTTTGCTTTTATATCTGTTGGACTTCCTGTCCCATAGGTAAGTCACCCCGAGTCCCTTCTGGGAGATGGTGATGGGGTACAAGAATAAAGTTGTTGTTGTTGTTGTTGTTATTATTATTATTATTATTATTATTATTATTATTATTATTTTCTCTGACAAAGCAGGCTAGCATCTCACCTCACCACATTGCAAATCCCAGGATTCCACTGGCAGTTAAAGTGGTGTAAAACTGCATTATTTCTGCAGTGTAGATGCACCCAAATCATATGTTGTAGATCTGATTCTGTCCACAGCTTGCATGTGTCCCTTGAAAAAATGCCTTGAAGGGAAGAAATCCTTTGATTGAGAAAAGATTGCACACACCTGATTTCAAGCAGCTTTGAGAATGTAAGAGTTTAGTGATCAGAAGGAGAATGTTCATCAGTAAGATGTATCAAGGGTGAGAGCAACTGTGGGAACAATTGAATTGGACTGCACTGCCGAAGTGGTGCAGGATTAAGGCATGCCTTAATTATCTTTTGATTAGGCTACAATAATGTGAACTATATGGAGCTACCTTTGAAAAGTGTTTGCAGGCTGTAGCTAATGCAGAATGGGAGTGACAGGCTGTCATCTGGACTGCGTTTGGGAGACATATTATTTGTTTGGAACCAACTGTGTGGTCTGTAGCGGTACTTTAAATGTGGAACTGCCTCTCAAGGGAAGCAAGGCTGGCTTCATCCTTACAGAATTCCTGACGAGCATTCAAAATTGTATTGCCAAGAACTTTGGCTTTTAAATGTTTAAATCTAATTTTTAAACAGTGTTTATTTCTGTCTTGGTTTTGTATTTTGATTTGCGAGCAGAAATATAATTAGTAAATGCATTTCATAAAAATAATTGAAGTTAACTTGTGCTTGGTGAAGTTTATGGGTTTTATCATAACTATGAATCATTGAAGGTCATCACAAAGATGAAATAAAAAAACACATATTTGCAGGTCATATGAATTAACTCGAAAGGACAGATTATATAAGAACATCAATCGAATGCAGCAAACCTATGGATTCAAGAGCTTCCATGTCCTGCCTCAGACTTTCATCCTCCCAGCTGAATATCAAGAATTTTGTAGTAAGTAACCAGTTCAGAGATAAAGCTTAAAAGTGGATAGGAAATACAAATTTTGCAACATATAAAAGTAGGCTAAAGGCTGTCAGGATCTGGGAATAATTTTGTAAATGAAATAATGATATCTGTCTTTTGTCTCCTTTTTCAATCAGATTCCTATGCTAAGGACAGGGGACCCTGGATAGTAAAACCTGTGGCATCTTCTAGAGGGCGAGGTGTCTATTTGATCAACAGTGTAAGTACTTGCAAGTATATAGGCTTGCTGACTCACTGGCATTTTTGAGTGAAATCACCATGTTTTCCTTGTATAAAGGCATTTCAGTTCTTAATAGTTTTGGGTTTGTTTTTTTTGTCAGGAGCGACTTGAGAAACTGTAAGTCTCTTCTGGTGTGAGGGAATTGTCCGTCTGCAAGGACGTTGCCTAGGGGACATCTAGATGTTTTGATGTTTTACCATCCTTGGGGAGGCTTCTCTCATGTTCCCACATGGGGAGCTGGAGCTGACAGCGGGAGCTCAACCTGCTCCCCCTGGATTCGAACCACTGACCTGTCGGTTAGCAATCCTGCTGAAATAAGAGTTGAACCCATTGCACCACTGGAGGCTCCAATAGCAGAGTATAGAGCATGGTATCATTTGGAAGCAGTTATCATTTATATGAGGCGTCTAAATAATTTACTAGCTGCCTTTTCTTTGGCTTGTGCAACCACCATCTTATTTTTATTATAAAGAAAACTGTACAGCTGATGTTTAGGTATATTTACAGTCTAAGGAAATACAGTGTAGGCATAAGTATTCAGAACAGTATCCAATGGAGTAGGGGTGACCAGCAGAATGCTGGCAAAAAGATATCTACACTTGTATAAAGTGATTAGTGATTAGTGATTAGAGAGGGGATTCTAACTAATTCTTCCCTTTTTGTTTCACCTTTCTGCATTTTTCTTGGCCTATGTACTCATGCATTTTCCTTCCTTTTTAGTCTCTTTGTTTCCTTTGTTCCCTTTGAGCATCCATGGGGATCCAGCCCTAATAATAGCGGCTAACTTACATATACACATGAGACTCAACTCTTAGAGGTACTTGTACCCAAGTACAAGATAAAGGTAAAGGTTTCCCCTTGACATTAAGTCAAGTCATGTCCGACTCTGAGGGGTGGTGCTCATCTTCATTTCTAAGCCAAAGAACCAGTGTTGTCCATAGACACCTCCAAGGTCATATGGCCAGCATGATTGCAAGAACATTCAGAGCAATTACTCCTTTTTCTGCTGGAAGAAACATCAGCTTCTTCACTTGTTCCTACTGCTAGAGATGGGATGGCTTAGGCAGAGAGGAATCTTTTCTCTTGCTTTTCCATCTTCTGTCAGCGACCTATTCCCAAAACATTATGGGCCATAATATTGTCTGGTGCAGCCAGGGTGAATTGATTGCCTTCTGTTGAAAAGGAAAAAGAGCTAGTCCAGACTGAACCCCTCTGCCCTCTTCCCATGTGCTCTTTGATGAGAGATATATGCCACAACTTGTCTCTCTCACCATTCTTTTTTCTTTTAGATTAGAAAGGATCAGGTTGTTTTCATCTAAGAATTACTTTCCTCAATAATTGTTCCTTTGGTTAAGGTTTCTAAACTTATTTTCTGCCTGCAGCTTGCTACTTTATTTATTTCGAGCATTTATAGCAAGCTGGTACTTTCCAACACATCTCCATTGTAAATGAAGTAAAAGCTATAAACAGATCATTCATTCCAAAAACAATCTCGCACAATCCTTTCCCTCTAATGGTTTCTACCACAAACTCATATTGCACCAGCCCTTCTGCACTCTGCTTAACACAGATACCAAATATTCCTACACATAAAGCCTTATAGAGCTTTAGGATAAATTATGTTTACAGGTCGCTACTTCAATTTGTGACGCTTTCTGTTTCTTATGTCCTCATCTTCTGAGCTGTTATCACTGGGAGCTTGCTAAAGGCTCTCCCTAATAGTCACATACCCATTCTGTTTAGTGTCGCATGAAGATATGTTGAGTTTCATCGTGCATATAATAATAGTAATAGTAATAATAATAATCATCATCATCTTTATTTATACCCTGCCACCGTCTCCTCGATGGGGACTCAGGGCGGCTTACAAGAGGCCAAGCCCAAACAACAAATTACAGCAAAATAAAACCGAAAACGCAAACAATAAACAACAACATCATAATTATTAAGACATATGAATGCATAACAATATAAAATTACAATAAACACAATCACAGTGAGAATGGGCGGGCTACATGTAATGATTAAAAGAAAACTAATTAAAAACTGATTGAAAACTCGGGTGAGATAAAGGAGAAGCATATTCAAATCTGTATCCAATGGTCTTATACTACCAATGCAAGACCTCATCTGCTGGCAGAAATACTGTTTTCATTCTTGTGCAAATGCCAAATCCAGTATTTCATTCTGTTTGCACCAGGTGTTAGGCGTTTATTACTACTTTATGTGCTATGTTAATGTTGCTTGGCTACTTGTGTTTCTTCTTTTGGCAATTGTGCAACTGCTAACCAAAGCAACAACAATGTTTGTAATTTTCTGCTAGGCTAACGAAGTACATATAACCCTCAGAATGAAAAGAAGTTGTCATTTATCAGATAATAATTGGGCTGCAGTGGCAAGGCAGTTGTCTGCAGCATCAGATTGAAGATTTCCAATTTTATGATGCCTTCCTATCTAATCATATATCCTAAGCAAAGATTGCAGGCATAATTTCTATGAGTGACAAATGATTTCTATAGCCACTGTGGTAGGTATTTATTTGGTAAATAGATTCCATTAAAACATAGACCTATTGATGGTTGCTCCAGATACATTGTCTTTAACTGTTGTTGTAGCCCAGATTTCTGGCACAGCTAAAGTGCAAATGTGTCTATATGTATGTATTCTAAAGCTTATAGGATTAGTATTTTGGCATGATCTAGTTGAAAACTGGACAGTGAAAAACTGCTTATACTCATATCTCTCCCACCCACATATTGCAGGGGCTGTCTTGCCTCATTTGTTCTCTGTCTGGCTCTTTTCCCATGGAATAAGGGAAGTTCTAGCCAAGTGCATGAAGCAACTCTTTCCAAGGCTTTGCTAGGCTTTACTGTGTGGTTTAAGGAAAGGCATATGTGAACAAAAGGTCAAAACCTGGAAAAGGCACTGTAAACCCATTTCCTGTCATAATCTGCCTCTTCCAGCATTTCTTAGCTTACAGATCTGTCACATTTACTCAATATGAAGAGCATTCTGTAGGCTCATTCTTAAGGGAAGCTTTATACTTCTCTGTAGATAGCAGGGAACGTTTTGTGTCTCTGTTACACTTGGCAAATAAAGTTTTCCAACTGTCATTAATCAGATTTTGTGTTATTGTGGTTGCTATTTAGAAAAGTCACATTTTATTTGGTTTGTTCATGTTACCATTAGGGAGGAAGGAATTCTGTTCTTTCCCTGCACCTTCAAAAGTTATCTGGTGTGGTGAAGGATTGTTTTACCTTGTATTTCAGGGACGAGCAACTATGAATGCTGGGGGCTGCATTGCTTTCCAAGAGACCACAGTCACTCCTGGAAAAACAAATCAATCCCCCTCTGGGAAGCATGGCTGATATTTTTAACATGTTTTGGGCCTTCCTTGACCATTGTAGTCTCAAGTGAAAACTTTAAAAAATCAGAAGTCCCTATTCACATTCTGATTAAAAAAAGACCTTTCCTGGGCCTAAAGTGGCCCAAATATGTCTAAAATTCAACCATATCCTCTACTCTTGGAAATATGTGGGGAAGAATTACCATTTTATCCCCCTCCCCCTAGAGGCTCACCACTAACCACACAGTCAACTCACATATGTTGGTGAACCTTTCTTGGCTTCTGAAATTAATGCAGATGTTTTATGTTTAGTTTTATATTAGATATAATTTTTGACAGGTTACATTTTATTTAATCTGTCAGTGTCATCTTATAAGTTGTTTTCATATATGGGGTTATTTTAGGTTATTATGTTTGTATTTGTTGTTGTGCTGAGGCATTGAATGACTGCACTTTGTTGTTGATGGAATTTGCCCTGAGTCTCCTTGGGGAGATAGGGCAGAATATAAATAAAGATTATTATTATTATTATTATTATTATTATTATTATTATTATTAATTGGGATAAATGTGGGGAAGGATTATTTTACTACCCTGGAGGCTCAGGGCATTTAACCTCTGGGGAACATGTATCCCACGAGTTGCACTTTTCCCTCTCTGCTTTTTGTTGTCTGTACTTTTTTATGATTTCATAGCCACATGAAGTTTATGGCCTGTTCTGGTTTTGTGTGTGAGTTCCATTGTAATTATATGGGCGTTATTATAGCAAAGCATGATTTCATACCTATGCCCTTTTCCAGCTCTGAGCTTATTTTGGCTGCAAACTAGAAATACAAAATATGTACAAACAATAAAATCAACATCGTACTTTCAGGAAACCCACATCATGTCTAAAACATGGTACATACAAATAAAACAAAATTAAAATATATCATATAAAACATGGTGTGTGATACATTCATTCAAATTAACTTTTAATTTAGCTTACATTAAAATATATAAGCTAAAACATTATCCACTAAAATCATTCACAATTTGTTCCCTTAGTTTTATATCTTTCATCACAACATTTGGTTGCCTTACTGGTCAGGCATGAAGCAATTATGGGACAACTTAAAAAAAAATTAAGCCAGCAAGTGATCTTTAGTTCTTAGCTCATATGTTTTGTATTTCATTCTGTAGCCAAATCAGATTTCCCTTGAAGAGAACATCCTGGTCTCACGCTACATCAACAATCCCTTACTCATAGATGGTAAGTTTCTATCTGAGCTCTTTTTTCTTTAGGCCATCCCTTTCCCTCAGATTTGAAAATTTTAGTGAGCTTTTGAGTTATAAGAAAGTCATTCTGTATGTATTTTATATGTTAAATATAAACCCACGGAATCAGCACCCGGTGATAGATCACCCAGAGGCAGATATCTGCCTCATTCTCCCAATTCTTTAGGTTGCTTCACCTTCTCAACAGTATGTGGTCATTGGTCTATGTCACTCCCTTTCAGACTTCAAATTTGATGTGCGGCTTTATGTTCTGGTGACATCTTATGATCCTCTTCTTGTCTACCTCTATGAGGAAGGTCTGGCCAGGTAGGTGCTTTTCTTGTTTCATGGTTTGTAAATGCTATCTCCTACAGTGAAGCTGGACAGTATTTCTCCATGACTTTGAGACAAAGATAATAAAAAGGCCTGTTGGGTATTGTAGTGCTCTGATCAGGAGGTTGAAATTATGAATGAAAACTTTCAAAATATCCAGTGAATGTTCTTTTCCCTCACTGTAAATGGTCCTTCATCTGTTTTCATCTCTAGTTCTGTTTAGGGGCAGCTTCTAGCTAAAATTCAAGCAGTCTCCAGAAAGTATTGAATAGCATCCTAATGAATTACATGCATTTTCCTGCTTAGGCCTTCAGGTGGCAGCAGTGGACTTTGAGGCTCTCACTGTTTTGTTTTGTTTTTTAATTGTGAAATTGACCATCAACATGAAAACAGAGTTTTTCCAATTCTGTTTCAACTAGATTTCAGGTCTTTCTGTTATATACTTTGACGTTTGTGAGAATGCTAAGACGTCTCCCTATAGAGTAAGAAAACAACACATTTTATACCAGGCTAAGCATGTGAGCCAGTGTGTGTTTAACTGTGAACAGTTTGCTAGGGTCTGTAAAAAGATTGATTTTTTTACAGTAGTCATATTTACAAGTGGAGAGAATATGCACTGATATATGGAAAGTGAGACAATAACTGCATGTGAACCATGGAACAGAATGGAGAAACAGAATAGTTTCCAATTGACAAGAAGGTCAGGCAGAGCTGCACTTCGTCACTCTATCTGCATACCTTGTATGCTGAATACAAAACGTAAATCTGGATTAGCCCTGGAAGAAGGGGGCATTAAATTGGAGGAAGGGATATCACCAATTTAAGATATGTGGAGGATGCTGTGCTGCTAGCAGAAAGTAGCAGACTTGGAATTATTGTGTAAGAAAGTCTTAGAAGAATCTGTAAGAGCAGGATTATAGTAGAACATTAAAAAAATAAAAACAAGGCCACATATTATGTAAATAATTTTAAAATAGCAATTGAAGACACTGAAATAATAAAATATTTTCCATTGATTCTCAGTGATTAAACAGAATAGAGACTGCGGTCAGGAAATCATAAGAAGACTAGGGCTTAGAAATGCAGCTGTGAAAGAACTAGACAAGATCCTCAGGTTTCAAGATATATTATTGAATACGATATTCAGGATTGTCCTGAAGGAAGGAAGTAAACAGGAAGAGAATCAACTGATTTGAAATGTAGGTTCAGGAACAAATCATGCTTGAACTCTTCCTAGAAGCCACAATAACTACATTGAAAATATCATTGGAAGATATGACTCATTTAAAAAGATAATAATGTTTCCCAAAATGTAAAGTATTGGGGAAAATAAAAAGACAGTATTACAAATAGACCCAATCAAGGAAGTCATGACCATGAGTTTGTAAGACCTGAGTAGGTTTATTCCTAACAGGATGACTTGGAGGGCTCTCATTTTAAGATCACTATAAGTTGAAGTTGACTTGACAGCCATTAACATCAGCAAACAACCTTGGCAAAAACAGATAGTGTTATGAGGGTTTCAGTGATGAATTGAAAATGAGACAGTCATGTCCCAGGATAAAGCTCAAAGAGACTTGGATTTATTTTTTATCTGGTCTGGGAAATTGATGCTTCTGTTTGATTTTTGAAGTTTTGTCTTATGTCTGATACAACAGGTTGCATTTTTATTTATTTAATTTTAGTTGTTAAGTCATAATTTGTTTCTATATGTTGGGTTGCAAATTTTGTTACTATGGGTGTATTGTTGTTGTGCTTGGGCATTGAATGTTTGCCTTTTATGTTTGGAATCTGCCCTGAGTCCCTCCAGGGAGATAGGGTGGAATATAAATAAAGTTATTATTGTTGTTGTTGTTGCTATTATTATTATTATTGTTATTATTATTATTTTATTCTGTTAAAATAAACTTGGTCAATAAGAATTGTAGCCTTTTTATTTTATCACAGTGTGTCTTTTCTCATCAGTCTGCATATCTTGCTAGATAAGTTTGATGGGAGCATATAAACTTCATAAAAACATAATGTTCCAGCAGGGGGCACTCATACACAGGATTTATGTTTTTGTCCTCAAAACCAGCCTTTTCTTTGTTTGGAGTCAAAGAGAAAATTTCATTTACGGTATTAAAAATATTCAGTTACATATAAATATTAATTTTGGGCCAGAACATGTTTGAGGGGATGTTGCTGGTTGTGCTGGTACTGAGCTAGGAAAAAGTAGAGTTGTTTTTATGGAAGCACAATGGATTGATCAGAAGGCCAAATAAATTTCTAAGGGGCCCAAGAAGTAGAGGGGGTGAGAAATTAACATGGCTGCAAGTTCTGAGAAGAAGGAACAGGAGTCAGAGTCTCATAATGTTTGACAGCGTACTGCTTTCCTGTTCCTTAATACATCTAGTGCCTTCTGCTTTGGTAGCTTTGCATGCTAATTAGCACTGGCTCCACAGAGATATTTACCTTTTCTCTGCTGGATTCCTGTGGTTTTCAAAGAATTCAGGTACTTACCATGAGCCAAGGAATTCACATTACCTCATAAACTGTCTTGTGGCCAGAGCCTGTTACAGCAGCCCAGTCCTCCTCTCAGTAACCCCTGCCTGGCAAGCCCTTGACAGTGGGGAATGTAGGTAACTGAAGCAGTGGTGGAACAGCAGTTGCTCTCATGATTCCTGCCCCCTCTTAATAGGCAGCAGTTCAATGCTGAAACTTGGCATTTTGCATTTCTACAGAATGTCTTAGTTACTTAGGCTGGGATTTGCCACATTAGGGAGGGGACAAAAATGCCCCTGGAAGATGTTTAGAAGTAGTGAGGAAAACTTTAAAAAAAATACCATGAAGCTAGAATTTGGAAGAGGAGACATCAGAATGATCCAGATTTGACTGAAGTTTTAAAAAACTAAGAAAACCCCATTCACATGAAGATTGGCATAACAGAGAAAAAACAGTGGTATGTTTTACCTGTGGCTCTTAAGTTTTTGGAGGGATGGCCTGCTCCTGATCTCATTCATTTACTATCTGTGTATTCTCAGAAAATTAAAGTGTTTAGACCAACTAATTGCATTGAGGTAATCCCAACACAAATGAGGAAAATATTAATCAAAGAAGGTCCTTGTTAATAGCATCGTCAACACAGAGTCAGACTAGTAATATCCTTGCATGTGGTGTTTCCACTTTGTTTTGTCTTAAAATTATATTTTTTTGTTTGAATGTGGGGTTTTCATTGTTTTGGGATACTGAGTTAGCATCCATAATCAAAACTGAAAAAAACCCACATTCAAATTACTGTAACAGCTCCCAATCTGGACATTGGGGTTATAGGTAGAAGGGGGGCCCATGCAGTCCAGTTGTCCGGTCCTAATTTTGCCACTTACATAGGTGCAAAGATAATTATTCTTTTTCAAAATATGAGCAATTGGTTTGGTTTCAATGACTGATGTATTCCTGGTTCTTGTTTTGTAGGTTTGCAACTGTAAGATATGACCAGGGAGCAAAAAATATTAAAAACCAGTTCATGCATCTGACAAACTATAGTGTCAACAAGAAGAGTGGTGACTATGTCAGGTATTTACATTTGCTTGGAAGTTCTTGAAACAAGTATCCATAGTAAAGTGGCCAAATCACTTTATGTGTGTGTGTGTGTATGCTTGTTTTTAATGTATTTATATTTGCCATTTAGGCCAGAGCAGTTGCCTCACAAAGAGGTTTAGAGCACTTAATATAACCATTCAAACATATAAAGCATTAAACACAAAACCAAGCAGTTAATAAACAGAAATTTGACATAGTTGTATCAGGGATCCTGAAATCACAAATGTGAAACTTGTTTGTTCGATTTTAGTTGTGATGACCCTGAAGTGGAGGACTATGGAAACAAGTGGAGTATGAGTGCAATGTTGAGATATCTGAAACAGGAAGGAAAAGATACAACTGGTGAGTAGAGAACAAGTTATTCCTTCCCTAAATCTTTCCTAATGTATGTGTTGATTGATGATATTACCAGCTGTAGTACATCCAATTCTCCTCTAAGATTTTCTTACAGCTCTGCTGCTTTACTTTGACTCTGTCTTTTTTCTTGAAGTAAGGATTCCATTACTTCACTTTTCACTTAATGTTTTTCTTATATGGTCCTGCTTTTTCTGCTTGGCATAGTCTCCTGGGGGTTGTGACTGTCTTTTGCAGTTCCACTATTGTCTATGATTTATTATTTTGAGTAAATACCTTTAATATAGGAATTCCATAGTATGTAGGAAAAATATTTTCTTCACATTTGATTGACCCATTGATAGCATGGTGAATTAATAACACAGATTTCAATTTGTCCCCTTAAGCAATGCATTCTTAGTAAACTGAGAGTAAAATAGTTGAATTTTCTTCTGCAGTACTCCACTGATCACCTACTTTGATTTATGAGGCCCAGTCCTCTGCATGGCCTCCTCTTGAGAAGGATCTTCCCCCACCTCTGCTTCCTCCATGTTGGCTTGTTTAATGTTGTTAGTTTTTTTTTGTTTTAGGCATTGAGTTACTCTACTCACTGTACTTTTGATTTGATTGTTCCCCATCTTCAAGCTTGCCTATGAAGAGTATGAGCGCAACTGGTACCGTGTTCATGGGGAGCATCCACTATGCCACCCAGTATAGCCCATACTACCATATTCATGGTCTACTTCATCATCAATGGCATTATGCCTTAGCACCATCAAAGTTGGTACCAAGCAGGAAAATATTTCCAGATCTGGAACACAGGACTTCTAAGTCTGTCATTCAGCTACTGAATGTTTCGGTTCAGTCTTCCCCATTTGGCCTCTTGGGGGTCTTTTTAATCATTGCCTCCATGCCAGGATCTTGAATAGAGTGTTCCAGAGTCATCTCCACTCATACTTCTTCAAGTTCAGTACTGTGAACCTAATCACACTTACTGTTTCTAGTTGCTGAAGTATACTTTATTATTCATCTACATTCGGTACTACCGAATCACATTCTTCAATTGCTTCATCAGGTATACCTTACCAATGTATACTACCTAACAGTTATGAGAGAACATGACTTTGTTTATCTGACACATGAAGTTCTTTCAGGGATGGGCCCCTCTAGAAGTGGGTCTCTTCATGTGGGCCCAAACAGTCATTGTCAAGTCTAGGGCTTGTTGAGGAAAGGGACCTCATAGCAGTGTCTTCTTGTTTTGCCAGGGAGGCCCTTCCATGTATACTTTCTTCCATTTCCCCTCTTCTCCAGAGTGATAGCCAAAATTTGAAGAGATAGGTCTAAGTGCATCACAATCACATAATGGCAAGTCTCCTTCTACAGTGACAGGACCGCTATCTTACTACTCAAGTTTGTGTTACTGTATCTGCTACTCTTTTCACAAGAAGAGTTGGCCAGATGTATCTTGCCATCTCTCAAAGTGGGTCACCTCCAGCATTTACTTGGCCTACTAGCTTGCAAAGCAAGATCCTCCACTACATGTCCAGAGCCACTCCACCAGAGCTGTTGCCTCTTCATCTGTTTTTCTGAAAGGTATGTTACTGAAAGACATTTGAAGAGCAGCTACAGGGTCAGAGCTTTTGACTTTAATCACTAGGTGTGAGGTCTAGGGCTCATGCTGCTTTTGGAAGAACTGTGCTGTTCTCTTGTGATGTATGACAATTCTACAACTTCTGGTGAGTAGCTTGCTAGACTCACATTTGAGCGAGTCACTGAGATCATGAAAAGAAGGATCAGTTGCTTAGCTGTCATTGTAGTTTTACATGTGGTCATCTGTGAACTTACCCTGGCACCCACCCTGCTCTCCCTAGCTACTGCTACAGTTTCCAGAGAAACATGTTTTGGTATTTAGATTGTACTATATGTATGTATATTTATTTTTTTTGCAGATGTGCTTAAAATCCTGTCATGTGTCTGGTTGCATACGTTTTGCATTGGCTGGCTACTGTTAATGTTAAGGTTCACATATGTGGACTGTTACAGTATTTCAGATTAACAATCTTTCATGTTAAAGTTCTTGTTCTTTTTGTGCTCCTCCTTTTTTTTCATCCAGGTCTGATGGCTAGTGTGGAGGATTTGATAATTAAGACAATACTTTCTGCTGAACTGGCCATTGCATCAGCCTGTAAAGCTTTTGTTCCACATCGTGGTGTTTGCTTTGGTAAGGACCTTAAAGATATCTTAATTTTATAGTTTTCCTATAAAATGTATAAAATGTAATACAATTTCTTCTAGTGTATTTGACAGGGAGAAGACCTAGTACAACAACAGCAAGAGAAAGCAATCCAGCTACAGTACTTAATAGAAGAATTGGGCTATCATTAATATAATTTGTCAGTTCTTGTGGGTATAATTTATATAATTATATCTTGTGGATATAATTTGTGTTTGCTTCATTAATATAATTTGTGTTGGGGAATCAATTTGTTACTGGAAAATGTCAGCTTTTTTCTTTAATTACATGTCTGAGTATATGTTTATATATACACACCATGGCTTCTGTCCTCTTTTCCTTTTCTACATGGTGCTTTGTGTTTTGAGGCTTGAGAACCCTGATTGCTATTACTTAGCCAATATCGTTGAGAGTGATGACTCACAATTTCTCTCAGCTCTGTAGGGAATGGATAGTCCTTGCATGTTTCCTGACTGCAAGGCAGGGGAGAAGACTTGGGCTTGTTTTGACTTCATGTTTTCCAGATGCAAACACAAAGTAAAAAAACCTCGCATATTCTGCCTTGCTTTTTTGGTCTGGAGGGAGATGATATGGAAGTGGGTTGGCAGGCTTGTCTTTTTGATGACTGGGCACTCTGAGCTTGAAGTAGTTGACAGGAGCAGAGATAAGCTGACACGCCTTACTTCCTAGCCAGCATTGAACTGAAAACAGAAGGAATGGACTTGCTATATATGTTATAATAATAATAATAATAATAATAATAATAATAATAATAATAATAATACTTTATTTATATACCGCTCTATCTTCCCGAGGGGACTCAGAGCAGTTCCCAGGTAAAAATCACAGAACATACAAAGTAAAAACAACATAACCATAAGATTAACAAAACAAAATATGCATAAAAATTGTTGCCATAACACACATATATTAAAAATAATCCTGCCTGTTCAAGGCAATTAAAAAAATGTAAAAAGCCGGGCCAAGATTTGTGCAAGCCCAAAAATTCTAGGGCCCCCGGGAATTAAATGCAATGCTATGGCAGGCAACAATAATATTAGGTACGGGTCTGTGGCTGTTCATTCCAGGGCCGACTAGAGGAAATGATCTGGGTAATTGGTAGGAAGAATAAGGCCATATTTGACAATGTATAGGGCTGAGTTAGAACTGGCCATTTTCAAAGGCTTGTTGAAACCACCAGGTCTTCAAGCTCTTACGAAAGGAGGGGAGGGATGGGGTCTATCTTATTTCCCTTCAAAGGGCATTCTAGAGGCGGGGGGCCACCACTGAGAAGGCCCTCTCTCTTGGCCCCACCAACCGCACTTGAAATGGTAGTGGGACCGAGAGGAGGGCCTCCCCGGAAGATGGAAAGGGTTGGGGACTTAGGTGCAAACCAAGTCTTTCTGTACCCTTTCCAATTAGTAAATATCTGGAATTAGGAAGAGATAGAATTTTTGCTCGTGCAGAATCCCCCATCAGACTACCCAGCGCCACGCACTGAGCTGGCAATAAGGGAGGTGAGAATTGTCCCTAACCTTATGCTTTGTTTCAGAGATGTAACATGAGATTGGGGACAAGGCCTTACTTTGTGAAACAGCATTCTTGTCAATAATACATATAAAAAATGGTCAGTCCCAGGTCCTAATATCCTAGCTATTTTTTAAAAATCAAATGTGGAACATATAACAAATCTTTACTTGTTCTAGTATGTCAAGTCAATTTTGTGTTCTGTTTGTAATAATGACTGATGAAATATCATTTAAGAAGTGACATGTGATGGTCTTAGTCATCCTCTGTTGTGGGAAATATACTGCTTCTGAATGTAGATGCTCAGTTGTCAGTTGTCCTGCCTCGTGAATTTATTTTTTTAATGATGTACAAGAATTACTCTTGTTGCATGGAATCCTGTAAAATAGGTACTGTATTGAATGAAGTAATACTATATCTTGTTTATACAGTTAAAACATTTCAGTTGCATTTGATAGTCCTTAGCTATTTAAAATATTTTCCAGTTTGCTCTGCACCAGCGAGGAGGTTAGCAATCTATCTCATTCTCTTTGATTATGGTGTCAGCATAGGTCACAAAAAGATATAGAGTAGTTATTTCGGTTCCCCTTGTCTATATTTGCTATAACTGTATGCTATTTTTGTACAGAACGAATAAAACTTCTCACATTTAAAAAGTAAGATAGGATAGTTTTGTATGTTGCTGTTTTATGTTTTCTTTTGCAGTCATTTTCTTAGTTATCTCACTGAATTTGCTCCTCTAATGGCTTAGTGTACTGAAGGGGTGATGTGATTGAGTTTTCTATTAACATTTTCCTATGTGATAATGTAAATTGCAAGTCTGTGGGAATTGGGGGCGGGAGCAAAGGGAAAGAAACTAAGATTTCATTTTGCACTTACCTTGCACAGATCTTTCTGGAGGTCTTCACAGCATGTAGGATACTATATACTGATCTTATAAATGGCTTCTGTGACAAATGCCTAACTTGAATCAAGTATGCTATTGGTATCTGGCCCTGGGGGAGGCTATTTCTTATAATGGCAAAAGTACTAAGTAAAATTAAGAATGTGTTCGAGACTAACATGGATCTGCTTGCTTGCTTACTTTCTTCCTTCTGGCCCTGGGAAAATTACTTGTCTCCACTCCATAACTTGAGTATTCTGTGGAGAATTGCATAGCATTTGTTTGGGTATTTTTGCTGGGCTTGCATTTTTTCTATGGCTGTACCACGTGGCGGCGATAGAGCTAGCATCTGGCAGAGTTTTTGTACTGAGCTATGTGCTGGCAGAGAATGAAGACCTCACTGGCAAGGAAATTGGGAATGGCTCCAAAAAGCAACGGCTGGTACCAGTGTGTGCCTTCCCCCACTTTCCAGTACCTGCTCCGCAGCCTTCACTTTGGCAGCCACTTATTGCTTCCTGTATCCCTTTGTGCAAACATAGGATAGAAGCTGCAAAGCTAGAAATAGCAGAGCCCAGAAGCACTTTATTCAAACAACTCTGATCTTATCATAGTTAGCATTTATCAAGGCTGCTCAGTTCTACTGGAATAAGAATGAATTTATTTTTTTAGCTCAGTAAGAGAGAATTGATATCTTAAATGCAGTTGTGGAACTTGATAGTTGTATGGTGATTATATCAATTTCAAAAATAATACATGCTTGAAGCAAGAGTTGTGTCTTCAGGTATACATCTGGAGAGATAGGATTGCATAGTAAAAAATAGTAAGCACTTGGACAGAGATCATGTAAATGTACTCTGCTAACTAGATCTTATTAGCTATATCTCTGTAGAAGAAGCTGTGTAGAATGGTAGCTGGTACCATTTTCATATAGTGCATAAACATTTTTTTCTTCATGAGAGCAAAGGTTTAGGAGAAACTGATGTGGGAAATTCTGAAGTCCAGCAGGCTCATAGTAAAGATGATGATGCAACAGTAGCATGCTAGGGGTTACAGTTTCAGTAAATCCAAATAAGTATAGTAGTTTGTGGAAACGTGGAGTATATGCCCAATACAAGGAAATATCTATGAACTTACATATTGAAGTTGTACTTATGCCTGGCACTCCCAGCTACCAGTTACCCATAGCCGCTTCTGCTTCTGAGCCGCCTCCTCTTCTTGCTGTCTACCCTTCTGCTCTGTTGGTACTAGCAGTGTAGCTGGAACATAGTGCTACATTGCTGTGCACTTGCAAAGATGTTGCAATCATCTGTTGCCTGTATTATCATCAAGGTCAGTCCTTGCCTGCTACTGTGGTTCTGTTGGCCCATCTAATGCCAGAAACAAGTACCAATGCCATACTGAAAGTATCAGCTCATGTTCTTGAAACATGCACTCTCTTCTCCTTCTTTTTTTTTCCTTTCTAGATACTTTGAGCAGATGATCTTTCTGATCCTTTGTGACTTGGTATTGCTACTTGCTGTCAAGGATTTGTGTATGCTTAGCAAGACTCTGTCTGTGTTCTCTCTCCCTCTCCCTCTCTCTCTCTCTCTCTCTGCCTACTGTACTCTGTCATCATGTGCTTTCTTTGCCTCAAAGCCAGCAACATTTTGATGGTATGGTAGCAGCAGAAGCAATAACCATTCTCTGTTTCAGCCCTTTGCTTGCTCCAGATTGGGACATGAAATGAATCTTGCTTTGTGCACATCCCTGAGATATATGTGTGTGTGTGTGTGTGTGTGTGTGTGTGTCTATGTACTACAAAAGCTGTTGCTAGGTGAAGTGGGCCTCTGTAATGTCACTGGGAAAGGTGACATGTGAATGAGGAGAAGGGAGGAAAGAAGGAAGGAAAGAGCCACAAAGAGAGGTGTGCTGCCATGAAGACATTGTGAAGTAGGCCTTCTCAGACTGGAGTAGGGAGGGTAGGCAAGTAGGCAAACAGTGGTCCCAATGACATCTGGGCAAAGCTGGGTATATAAGCTAGTATGTGATATAAATGAAGTAAATCTGTGTATATTTTCTTGCTTTGTATTATTCAGGTTTAGTTTTTGCTATAAGAAAGGATTAAGAGTTTCAACTGACACCAATGCTCTTTGAAATATCATTTCAGGTGGGGCCTTTTCTGAGATGGTGCCAGACATTGCTTTATGCGTAGAAACCTGCTTTTTTAAAAATGCCTGAACTGAAACTCTTGCAATGTTCATTATTGCACTCAGTGTCAGATTTCACACTTGTGTGGCATGACGCTGGAATATACAGGACCAGGACTGATGGACTGAAACTCACATTCTTGTCATTCTGGCTTTAAAACATAGGAAGAGAACTGTTTCCTTTTTTTCTTGTGACCAAGTGGATTTTTTTTAAAGAACCTCCAGATTTTACTAAAACCTCTTAAATATATTTATATAATGGTAGGGCTGTTAGGGAAAATTACCCTAAAATATAGCAGAGAATTCAAAAACCAAACAGGATACAAAAGTTGAGCATCAGCTCATTAGCGAGCAGAGCGTGAAGTGCTGTGTGATGTGGCTGTAAAGAATTC